GCCGCCGCAGCGGGAGCCCCCACGGCCCGAGCCACCGCCGCTGCCGCCACCGCCGCGCCAGAGCGGGCGGCAGGAGCCGCCGCCGCCGCGGGAGGCGCTCCCGCTCCGCCAGACGGTCCGCCTGGAGGTGGTGCTGAAGGACCCCACCGAGGAGGGCTGCGTGGAGTTCAGCTACCCGGAGCTGCTGCTGTGCGGGGACTCGAGGGTACGGGACCTCCCCTTCCCCTTCTTCCCTCCCTTCCCGCCGGCACGGGCTCCGCCGCGCTTCCTCCTCCTCCTGCTCTCGGCTGCCGGCGGCCCCGGCCTTGCTGATAGTGTTACCGGTTGCCCCTTGCTGCTCGGGGGTGGTCCCGGTACGGCGGGAGGGGCGGCGTCCTGGAGGGAAGTCCGGCTGCCTTGCCGTCGCTGCGGGCTCCTCCTGGTGCTGAGGCTGTGCCTGTGCCCGTGGGGGGAAGGGGAGGCTTTCCACTTGTCCCTGAGCTGGCCAAAGGCTCCTGGCCTTTGCTGCGGGCTGAGGCGGAGGAGCTACACTGTCTTGTGTCCCGCTTACCCCGGCTCACCTCCCTGCCGCTTCCCTTCCCTGCCCGGAGAGGTGTTGCCTCCTCCCTTCCTGGGAGCTCTTTACCGGCAGCTGGATGAAACTGTGACCACGCCGGTCTCTATTCCGGGTTGTCCCTAGGCTGTGTGCAGGTAAATAAGGAAAGCCGGCTCTGCTCTAAGCCTCGAGAAGCAGGGAAGTGATCATTAGCAGACTTGGAGAGGAGTTTTTGTAGTCTTGGAGGAGACAGGGATAAATGAGAGTTAATGTTGAACCGGTAACCACACCTGTAAGTGTTGAGAACTTAATTCAAGGAAAAAAAACCAGTGTGTTCTTCCTGTGCTTGTTCCTCCCAAGCAGAAAGTGTTTGATACTTGAACTACTTTGGTTTTTTAAGGACGAAGCTCCTGCAGACAACTTTTGGAAGCAAGCAGCGTTAGCCAATCAACAGGGCCCACTGTTCTAAGTAGGAAGGAGAGGCGCAGGTCCTTAAGCTGGTTACACTTGAGCTGCTCATTCTTAGTTGAGTGAAGTTGTACTTGATTTAAATAGTTGTGGCTTCTCTTTAATCCAGTGCACAGTTTTAGAGACAGCTTGTCTCTTTCTGGAAAAGGCAGAGGGCAAGTGAGTAACTACTACTTAGAAGGTTGTGGTAGATCTGGTGATAAAAGCAAGTATCAAATACCACTGCTTTTACTGCGGTGGGATTTTTACATCCAGCACCAACTTGAATATGGTTAAAACTTTTCTTCTGAAACAAAGTGTTTCTAGGAGATGACGGTGATGTAGCTATACTTAGCGGGCTGCTCATTCTGCTGTAGGAGGGATATACACACTGGATTGTGTTCAAATGTGGAAGGTAGAAAAATCAGTGACTGATTTTAATCCCTCAGATCTTGTCATGCAAGTTAAAGGGTTCCTTCTGTTCATCCTGTCCTACAGCTGTTGTGGGCAAACAGTGCCAGTTATGACTCCTCAGAATCAGTGTAGCATAATCGTGCTGCTCTCTGAAGTGCAATCTTTCTGAGCAGTTCCGTGAAGGTGAAAATTGTGTTAGTGTTTAGAAGTGGTTCAGCACTTGAAGGCTGACTTTTCCCTTTGGCAGTTCCCAGTTCCGTAACTGCCTTTTATTCTGAAGTTTGCCAGTATCTTAATGACATACTCAGGGAAAACAGGCTCTTTCTGATGTAGTTCTGATGCAAATTCCATGTCTTCTGGGGATGGGAGAGCATTGATTTAGGGGATTTTGGTACAACTGGGATCAGAAACTGCATTTACAGTGGAGACAGTGATAGTAATGCTTTATAAGAAGCTTTGTATGTTTTTCACCTCCGTAGAGTCCAAATTAAAATGAATGGATCATAATGGCACTGCTGTCACTGGGCTGTGGAATAATCAGCTGATTTACTATGTAAAACAGTGTCATATATTAAGATCCTTTTAAAGTGATTCTGGACTTCTACTCATGTTTAAAACCTGATGTATGTTTGGCCTGTCAGTTTAATTTCTTGCTTGTAGAACCTGGAACAGCTACTCTAATATTAGGGAAGATTTAAAATCAAAGTAGGTAGTAACTAACTGGTAGTTAATTTTGTAGTTTTAAGTAGAGTTTTAGGTTTCAAATTTTGTTGTTTTAGTAATGTTTCAATTTGAAATTAACAGTTCAGATACTTTATTTTTACTACGCAGTTTTTTTGTAGGGGAGAAGATCTGGAAGCTGTTGTTGACTCCTCCTTTATAAGAAGTTGCCAACTTTATAACATTTACCATTAAAATTTAACATTACAAAATCAGGAGCTTGTCTTTATATCTTGTAGTATTCTTGGAACTGTAGCGACCAAGAAAAGCTCTCCAAAGGCAGGCAAGCACTGGTGCGCAGGCATTACTTCAAATATGGCTTTAATAGGCCATGATAATAGTAGTTACATAATGATGAAGTGATAGAGAATCCCAAAACTGATTTGGCAGTGCAACTTCTGTCTTTTTTTAATTCCAAATTTAGGTTCCTATGCTGAATCAGAAGCTAGTGGAAATGTTTATTTTAAAAACTTGTGCTGTCCTTGTCCTTTTTTGCCTTGATGAAGAGAACATCCTTTGATAGGGTTGTTTGTAGAGTTCATCTTCTGGGAGGAATTATGTAAAGTTTCAATGTAAGTAATAAGTTTGTGTGGTTGAAGGGTTTATTTGCCTCTTAAATGCTGGCGGAAGTGAAAGTGCGCTCCCATTTCTTTTGGGGTGCATAAAATCCAAGTCAAGGTGGATGAGCCAGAAGCTCAAGTTGGCTTCTGTCGAACAGGCTCCAAAGCTGCTGAAGTAGTAATGTTTTAGTTCGAGAGCCATCCATCCCTTAGAGACAGTCAAAACTAAAATTTGCTTGAATTTGAGTTTTCAGTACTGCTTAACTAAACAAATGGATAGCTTTGAGTGTTTGATGGAGAGAGGCAAGTTAACACTTAAGTACTATGTTTTATTGATCTTTAGGCTCAACTTTGTCTCCTTTCACAGTTAGAAAAAAGTCACATATGCCTAGCAGAAGATGAGGAATACCTTTTCCCAGCTAAAAGTAGAGAAAATGATGTTTCATTAATTGAACAGTATTTTATATTTAATTATGCCTGCAGGAAATCAGTAAGTGGCTTTTATTTATGTTTTAGGAGTAACTATAGCCTCTATTAATTTTTTCTCCAAATACTCAGTCTGGAAAATGTATTGTAATTATGTGGTGTTTGCAGTTTTGCTTAGCTTACCTTCCTCATTACATTGGTCTTGATGCTAATGAGCTGGTTTGGTCACCATTTAGTCAATATTCCGGCTCCTTAAACTATGGAGGAAAGGTCTTGCTTTTCTGAACTTAGTTTTTTTTTATTCTTCATAAATCTTCATTTATTCATTGGTGAGTAGTCCATGTGCAGTAAAATTAATTGCCATCCATAAAATTCTGCAAAACGGAATTCCATTCCACCATATTTTAGGATCCTAGTACCTTCCCCCTTCTGGCAATTACTGTATTTATGTGAACTCCAGTTTGAAGGTGGGCAGCCCTGTTTTTCTGCCATCACTTATTAAACAAAACAAAAGCACTATGTATACCCTGTTCATTGACTTTGTCTCAATGAAAACCTCTTTTCTAAAAAACACCAAAAAACTAAGGGGTTACTCCCTCCTTGTAAGGAGGAATATTAAACCTCTTTTGTGGCTAACATAGTTATGATTACTGAAATTAACTCTTGCACTGTAATTTTTTTCTTTAGATAAAAGACTTACATGAATTATGGTTATAATTTACTGAGCTTTTTATTCTTCTGGCTGCTTCCTTCCTTGTTAACACACCATGTATGTGTGGTTAATGCTGTCTGTTGTATCTAGAAGAATCATAACAGCTGTCAGAGGGGCCAGTGAGTGGAAGTAGAGGTGAAAAGGAGTTGTGATTAGAGAGAGTTTTTTCTAACCTCAAATGGCGATAATTCTCTCTTATGCTTAGACTTTTAGTTGAGGTTGTTGTGGAATGCTTGGGAAAATAAAAATCTGAGTATTTATCTTAATTCTTCTGGTTCTGTTGTTATCAGAAAAAAAGTAGCTAGATGATAATTCAATGATCAAAGTAATTTTAAGTGATTAAGTATAAATTCTGACTACTTAGTCATCAGAGTATTTTTTTTGACATTTAATAGGTTTTGAGATGTACTCTGTTTCATGTGGAATGAATGTGTAACTTTTACATTTTTCAGAAGAAATCGGTTCATTTAGAGGATCCATATAATGATGAACAACGTGAGCGACATGAAGTAGAAATGCTTGCCAAGAAGTTTGAGGCAAAATACGTGAGTTACTGCACTTTGTTAAAAAATACAAATATTTAATAGTGATAACAGATAATGTTGGTGGTTTTTTCCCTGAATAAGGTTGCTAATGTAGTGTCAAATGACTTCTGTACATGTCAGTGATGACTGTCTCACTGTATTTCATTTAAGTACCTTGAAGCTGCCACAAGCTTATCAGACAAGTCTGCTAAATAGATTTGTCTGTAGATGTTATAGCTTGTGAAGCTATTCTTGGAAAAGAATAATCTTGGTAATCTTGGTAATAGATGCAGGTCAATATTCATGCTGTACACTGTGCTGGAGGAAACAATTTTTATGTAATGCTGTTGTGCACTATTGAGCAGGTCTTCTCTTTGGGCTAAATACTGATGAATCTTGATGTCCTGACTAGTTTGGAATGTTTCCATAGGAAGTTATTTGTTAGATAGTAACTCACTGCTCGATGAATGTCTGGTAGCTGCCAACTGCCTAAAGATACTCTGCTGTCTCCTGAAAGTGTGGTGTGACTTGAACAACACTAGCTAGCAACATAAAGAGCCTTTCACCAGTAAATGAAGGTAGAAATCAGAAAATGTTGACAAAAACCACACCCAAACAGGTCTTTAAGAATTCATATGGGTAGGGTTGGGCGATTAAGTCTGAGCTGGCAATCAGAGCTCATCATCATGCTGAGGCATGTTGATATTCTGGATTACGAATAGAACACCTTAATAATAAAGAAGGGAAACAAGAGCAGTCATTTGTATCTTTTGCTATTAAAATACATATTAAAATCCTTTTTGTCTGACTTACTTGGATTTTTTTTTTCTGGCAAAGGCAGATTTTTCTAAGTGCTCAGTCTATATATTCTTTCAGTCTTTATTATTTCAAGGCATGTTAGCTGTGGTACATAAGGAAATCAGCTCTTAAACTGAAAAGAATGGTTCTCATATTTTGGAGACATTGAGAGAATCCCATATGAATTGTGAAGGCTGTTCCAAAATGCTGTTTGCTTTTAATTTGAATTATAAATAATTTTTTGAATGTGAGAAAAAAATGTTTCAATCACACTTTTCTAAAAAACTCATTTTCTGCTATGAAAGTGTTAAGGATTTTATAATGTCTGAAATAAGTTGCTTAACTCCAGTTGGTGAAAGTCAGTGGAAGTATGTAAAGCAATATATGTAGGAGGGAGTGGTAGTGGAAGCAGTCTAATTTTACATATATGTTTATGCATCCATCAATGCTGAACCTGTACATTTTTGGACAAAACATGTTACTAGACTTAACAAAACAAGTTTAATCTTCAGTGGTCACAGAATGGGACAAATAGATGCCTTTAACCATTAGAAAAGCAGTAGGTAATAAAAAGTTACAATTTTCAACAGTTTATATTTGTGCTGCAATTGCATCTTCATTGCTATTTGCGTTTCTGATTCCTTCCTTTTCGTTCTCTGACTTGCCTTTTGTCCATTCCAACCCTATGAAAAGGGAATGTCCTCTATATAAAGAACCACTTACTAGGTTAGAACCACTAAGTGTGAAGGCTGGTGAGGGATTAAGATTCCTTGTGTTAGCAACTCCCTGTCCTTTCTCTTCCAATGTAAGAACCATCAGTCTCTACTTGCTGTCTGTGCTCAGAGGAATCTCATCTCTGAATGCTGACCCAGTGCAATTGCTCATGTTCTGACAGCATCCAGCCATCTTCTGCCTCTTGTGGTGAGACATTCACTGCATAGCTTCAGTTGGAGCAGGGATCCCCTGTGGTAGATACCCATTCTCCTCAAGTAATGACCAGCTGCAGGATACTCTTCTTAGCTGGAGTTGCACTGTAACACTCCTTAACAGTGCTTTATTGTAGATTTAATCAGTGGTTGTATGAGAAAAAAATAAAGGGTTTTTTTCAGGTTTGCAGGAAGTGCTATATCCTCCTTTGTTTAGGTATTGCTTATCTAAGATATCTGTTTAAAATGGAGTCAAACATTGGTTTTAATCATAACATGTGGCAGTACTTCTGGAAAATTTGATGCATGAAGAACAGTCTGCCTTGAAGACTTTTTACTTCTTTTCAGATAAATTGCTGTACTCATAACCAAATCAGTACAGTTTGATATATTTTGCAGATACTAAGAAAAGCCTATGAAAAAATGTATTTTTGTAAAACAAAATGCATAACATACCATTTGTTTACCTGATTATTCAGAACTCTGCTGTAATTGCTGTACATACTAAACATCAGCATGAAAAATCTGCTCTGAAGGGTTCCCATTGTCATTGTTTTGATTGCTGTTACTTTCTAGATAGAATTAAACGCTGAATTAATCACACGATACTGAACCTTGGACAGTATTGTACATATGTAAGAACTTTTCTTGGATCAAAACAAAGATCCATCTAATGGATGGTAGCATAGTCTCTGACACTAGTGGAATCTCATACTTGAAATTATAATAGAGCAAGTGTTCATCGATATTACTTCAGTGTGCCTATCTGGCACTCTGTGTTGGATCTTAATTTCTCTCAAAGCCAAAGGTCACATGTTTAATCTTTTTAAAGCTTTCTGCCAGAAATCTACCAGATCATTACCATATTTCTGTGTTCCACAGTACTGGAGTATCATGGTGACTGTCATATAAAAACACACTGTGTTTAAACCTGATGAGTTCTTGTAGTGCTCCATAGTTTCTGTATCGTAAGAAACAGAGAAACACTTCCAGTTCTTCTGCACATTGCATGTGATTTTGATGTTATCATCTAAATCCAGCCCTTTAGTTCTCCAGCTGTAATGTCTTAACATTTTTATTGCATGGAAGTGGTGTTTTTTATCTTTAAACATCCTTGGCTTACTGTTCTCTTTTTTGTTCTAATTGCTTTTTTAAAATGAAAGGATATTAGTGGTATGATGCCCTGATATTTCAGTGTTATACTGATGACTTCTGGTTTGGTTCTCTGTTCCTTTTTTTTTTTTTTAGTAAGTCCCAACTCATTTTTTTGACCATTCTCGACCAAGAAAATGTCTGAACTGTGCCTTACAATTCCAGTGGTTCCTGAGCAGCATAACAAATTTACAGCATGCTGTATTTTTTTTTTTTTTGCTTAGGTTGTACTTACTTGATGTGGATTACCTTGCTCAATTGATGCTGAATTTAACTGCCTGTTTATCATAATAAATACAGAGCAACTGTAAGGTCTTTAGTGATTCTTCAGTTGTTTTCTTTTTTCCTTACTTTCCTCAGTAAATTGTCATCTTAGACCCCTGTCCTTCCCCAACTCTTTACCTGCTCTGTTGCTTCTAAGGTGAATGAATGCATATTCCATAATAATTTTGCTGATCACTCTTTGCCAAAATGAGATACCTATTCTTACCTTTTCTTTCCTAGCTGTAGATCAGACTTCAGTTTAAGTGGGCCTTCCTTATCTCATGACAGTTTCTTGTTTTTAAAGATGTTTGGAACATGTTTAAAGCATTTGAAATACTTTCTTCCTGTTTTGTATATTCTTGTGCCTGCTGGTTCCGTTGTTTATAGCTTTTATTAACTTATCAACCATAAAGACCCGGTTTACTGGTTTATAGATTCTTCTCTTCAAGATTCTTCAGGTATTGGCATTTTATTTGCCACCTACCTTCTAATCCTGTTGGGCAGAGGTTGTTTAAACGCAAGGTTTAATATCTTAACGTCATCTTTGGCTTTTTTGAATACTTGCATGAGTAGTATTTGCAGCTTCAGGAGCTAGGCACCTTAATTTGCTCTAGTATTGTGTCTACTTATGTTCTGGGACAAAAAGGTTGGAGGAAAGCTGCAGTCATAAAACTTCCCTGAAGTGCAGCATGGTGGACGCTGACACAGATAATCCCTTCATTCTTCGGCTGCACTCTTGCGTCCTTAACATCTTGATCGTATGAAATCTCAACACAGTTCCTTAAACCGATCTGGTTAGAGCCAGGCCTGAAGGAAAATCTCTTAATTATACACACAGTGGTTCAGATATTTTAATATGTCTGAATACAGGTACTATTTTAAGACTGCTTTTGTTCATTCAGCTATTATAAGACTTTTTTTTTTTTGTTGTTGCTCCTTTTGTTCCATATCTGGTTTTCTGACTATCAGACAGTCAGAATGTATTAGACATTTAAAATTTTTTTATCGCTCCTTTATTATACTGAAATCATAGAATCACAGGATAACCATTGCTGCAAAAAGTTTTTAGACTTGCAAACAAGGATGTTGATGGTTACTAGGAAGATATATGTAGTACAGAGATGGATTGCATTACACATTAGTGAGTTCAGTACTCACTGAACTCACTAATGTGTAAGGTATGGTTTATAAAGCATTATTAGCCTGCTGGCACCTGAGTCAGAATCATGAATTATATAAGCTTTTGCACTGGAGTTTAATCAGAATTCTTAAGTGCTGCCTTTTTCTAACTTACTTTTTCTTCTCTCATCCATCTCATGCAAACTTTCTTTTTTTTAAGTACTGCATCTTTTGGAAATGTGCAGTTATTCAGATGTTTTTCCAAATGAGTGATTGTAGGAGATGATAGGAATACTTAGCTTGAAATGTAGCTTGGAAATGTGAATTAAAAGCTAAACTTATTTTTGAGGTTTTTCTTCTAGGACTATTGCATTTGTTTATTTAATATATGTGAGAGATTACTGTTTGCTTGCAAGAGCACATGCTTTACTTTGTCACAAACTTGCATGTTCTCAAAATGTTGTTAAAATGGACGTGTTGAGGTGCTTACACCACTCATAAAAGCACAGGGGTGAAACTGCCTTTGGACAGTGTCTGCCTTCTCATAGTAGCTGGTGGACTGTGATATTTGGATGTCACAGCTAGAAGGACTGACTTGCTCTAACAATGCTCAGAGCTGTAGGGTGCAGGCAGAGAAGTTTCAGGAGCAAGTCTTGAATTCTTGGAAGTTACCATTTTAGTGAAGGCAGTGCTTTTTTGAGAATTTTATCTTTTAAGACATTTATTGATGATTTTGACTTTGATTTTGAATATATGTGAACTAGAAAACTAGGCCTTATATCCTAAGATTTTTGTGTAACCTTAAAGTTCAGATTTCCTGAATATTTGAGGTAGCTGTGAGTCTTTACTCGACTTAACAATGAAATTTCCACATGAAAAGAATACTTGCAGATTAAAATTAATTTCACCGTCTCCTGGAGATAAGTGAATCCATCCATAGTTTGTGATGCAGCTTCTGGTTTTAATACTCAAGTAACATTTTATGTTTTAAAACTCAACTTTCTATGTGCTATAGAGAATGAATCCATCTTGTGTAGGGAAACACTTTAATGAACTCTAGGTTATCATTATTTTCCCTTGTAATGACACTGTAACATACTGAAAAACTTAACACTTTCTAAATTATCCCAACCCTTCTATCATTAGCAGTCCAGTCACTATATACAGTATACATAGGACAGGAAAACATCTCTAAATAGGAAATGTGAGAAAGATCTTGGTCTTGCAGAAAAAGGTAGCTAGTGACTGCCTTTCAGGGATGATTCTGGTGAGGCACATTTGCCACAGTGTGTCTGTGTGGAAGTTTTCGTTAGTCATCTAGATCATCTTCAAGGAAGCATTCAAGAAAGGAAAACTGCTAATTCCTTGAATGACTATTTCTCCAATGCCTTATGCTTTGTATGCTTTAGAACGTTGCCTTCATGTTTCCTAAGTGATGTAACACTTGCTTTGTCTTCAGGGTGGCAAGCCCCACAAACATCGGAAAGATCGCCTGCAGGATCTGATCGACATCGGTTACGGCTACGACGAGACGGACCCTTTCATTGATAATTCTGAAGCGGTAAGTGAGCTTCATCACAGCAGCAAGAAATCATGAGGCAGTGCTTTATCTTTTCAATACAGAACAAAGGTAAGGGAAAATACTTTGTACCTGTCTATAACTGATGTGAATGCAAAGGGCATACTACTTTGGGAGATCAATGAATTATTGTATTTGTAGTCTTACTCAAGATATTATGCACCAAAGAATTAAGGAAGCTATTCCTAGATCAAATAATTTTCCAGCTTTAGAAAATAAGTATTTTTGTGTGCTTCATTTACTGTTGACTGAAATGACGCTGGCTCTGTTTAGTCTCTTGCACTAGCTCTCTGGATTATTAGTGGGTTACTGGCATTAGATTTCCTGTTTTAGATCAGGAAGCTATTCTTCTCTTAAAAACCAGTAAAAATAGGATGGTTATTTTAAACATTGAATATGTCTGAAAAATTTGAGACAAAACAGGTTAAATAGCAGGATATTACTGCTTACTTTGTCTGAATATTTTTTACAAATGAAAACACATCTCAAGATAAAAGAAAAAGGTATTAGTTTGGTGCAGGCAGTATCAGGGCTATCAGAAGGTTTATAAAAGGGCATTTGAAGATATCTTGGAGGTGATATATGAAATTATGAAAATGGGAAAAAAGCCTGGGGAAAAAACTGGATTATCCAGAAGCTCAGAAACCTCCTATAATTCTTCCTTATTAAATGTCAGAAGTGTACAGTTTAGTCAAGTAAAAAAAAAAAAAAAAAGTAAGAGCTGTCACTTGCCAGCCTTCAGTTTCCTCCAGTGTTGAGTGACACTGGACAAAACAGCAGTGATCTGCTGTGAGAAGGAGTGGGCTAGAATTCTGAGTGGGAGAGGAAAGATTATGAAAAGAGTTGCGAGAAAAGAGTAAGAAAAGCACATAAGTGCATTGCTTAGCATACATTATGTCAAGCCTTCATTTAAATTCTAAAACTTTACAGTGAAGAGCTGTAAACTGAGCTGTGAAGTTTCTAGCATATAGATGTTGCAATGAGTGGTCCTATGACCTGTGTGAGGTGCACAGAAAGTGTCTGCAGAGCTGACACCTTTTTCAGCAGGAGTTGAGTAGTAAACCACAGTGCATAGCAGGCTGAGCTTATCTGTGTGCATTGGTAGTTTTTGAAGCAGGTCTGAAGTTGTGTGGAGAGAGAGCTTGCTGTAAGGTGCTTATTGTAACTTACAATAGTTTGTCATTTTTCATTATCTAGAAACTTAAACCTGCCAATATTAAACTGTTCTATCATTATCCCACAACTTCTGGTTGTGCTGCTGGAACAGTAATGGGATCTGAGCCTTCATATGTCTTTTCCAAAGGTCAGATTCTGGTCTCTACCTTGGTAGGAACAAATGTGCTTCATTTCTGCTGAGAAACCACTTGAGCCTATAGCTTTATCTGGTTTCTCACTGTTGCTTAGGTCCACCATCTTTGCTTTTAAAATTTTATGGCACCCAACCCAAGTTCTAGCTAGGTTTTCCTGGATTTACTGTGACCTATCACAGGTCTGATAGGAGATTTGGAGCACTGGCAGTACTCCTAGCACAGATCTCTGTCAAAGTACGAGTCTGGTGTATTAATACTTAGCATACTGTGCCTCCTTCCAGCACCGGTGGTGCTGTGCCAGCAGCAGATCTGGTGGATTTGCAGGAGCATTTACTTCTGTCTCTTGCCAGAGTCCTTGCAAAATGTACAAAAGGCAGTTGTTGGAGGACCAGATGGTTGCATCATGTGCTAACTGTGGAAGCTATTGGGGAGAAATGGTCTATTCTCTAAAAATTGCTCTCCTCAACAAATCATTGCACCTCGTGTCTGCCTTATAAATACAGGCTAGTGAGAGACCATTTTGTTTTGCTTTTATCCCCATTTTTATATAGAAAAGGAGAAAAAAATATAGTGGGCCAGCTGCAGTCCATGTTGTTGTTGCAGAGCTTAGGAGTTCTGTAATGCAGGAGTTGAAGTTGAACAAAGCCTGTAATTCTATCATTCTGCCTTGGATACAAGAGAAGTGTTCAGAAGGAAAATCTGCATTTCTGGCTTGCTCATCTTCTGTATAGCCAGCTATGAAATTGCCATGTACCCTGAGGTGTGTTAGAGCCAGGCCCTGGACTACTTCATAGAAGACACTCTTTCTTACACATAAAAAGTTATAATATCCTGGGCACAAACACTTGAAAAGTGAATATGAGTGCCTCTTTAATTGCTCCAGGATTAGCTTGTCTCTCTCCCAGGAAAAAAAATTTGAAAATTTCCTCAGAATTTTAGTCCTTTTTCTTGTCACAGTTGTGAAAGAAATACTGAGCTCTTTGGCACTGAAACAGATTTATTCCATAGCTTTAGAGATACTTCCCTTTTAAAAAACAGATTTTGAGGTAAATGCATTTGCAGACAAGCAGGATATCTATGTGTGCAGCTATTCTTGAGTTGAGCATTTTGACTGTAGTCAGTGGATTGTGATAATTCCAGTAACAAAAAGAAAATCACAACCAGCTTACTATTATTTCTAACTTCTCTATAGGGGTTAGCCTGGTGGCAAGTCCTAATCTTTGCTTATCTTAATGGACCTATACAAAATGTCCGTAACCTGCAAAGAAAGCTGCCCCTCCTCAGTGTTTCCACTGCTTTGATCTTGAAAATAGGTTTTGCTGTAGTGTAAGCTGCCCAGAACTACATTCTTTATGAAGTGGAATTCCTGTAGAATTTTTCACCCACTCTATTTTTCCTGCACACACATGCATGTCCAGCCAGATCAGGCTGATTACCTTGCTCTTGTGATGACCTCTAATTATTTGGTTGGTTGAATACTTTGCTGGCAGTGTAAGCTTTATATAGGTAGAGACTGCAAGGGAACACAGTGCTTTCTGAGCTTTCTGTTATGCAATACAGAAGAGGGAATTTCAAGTAATACATGGTGTTAATGAAAACATATGCTGTTTTCCCTTAATTGAAGGTAACAAGGCTTGGATATCTAAACCAGTGACTTCCCCCATTTCAAGTAGATGAATGTAGAAAAAGAACTGTTGATGTATAAATCTATAAGCAGTGTCTTTTTAAGCAGTGATAGTAGATAGCCATACTGGCAGGAATTGAAGCTAAATGTGAATGCCAAGAGCAGTGGGAAGCAGGCAGTTCTGTTCTTCAGACACCCAGGCCCCTGTGTAAATATTTGACCTAGTCTGTTACATTCATAGTTCCATAGTAGCCTTCTAAACACTGATGGAAAAATTCCTGTTCTGGTCACTAGAGAAAACCAGCGTATCAATGGTTTCTCATACATGGAAAGTTTCTCCGAAACAGGTGCTTCAGCTAAAAGGAAGATCTTACTTTTTCTTTAGCTACATTTTGCCTCAAGAGCTCAGATCATCTTTAAAGAAAACCTTTCAAAGATTTTGTGTTGGTTTTAGTAATTCTGGACTCACTGTTAAAAGCATTGCTCTGTTTCTATCTGGGTTCCCTAGAATACTTTCCCTTATTTTAGGGCTTGGTCTCTGCAAGAATTCTGTGTCATAAAACAGTTTTCACATATTTCCAGGATAAATTTGTCCTCATGTTGTATTCTCCAAACTTAAAAAGGTATGAAGGATTTAATATCCTCTTCTCTCCTACCCTGGCTTGCTCCTAAAACGTGAAGCTGAGGGGTTATCAGTAAGGTTATCTTGGATATCTGAGTAACTTTTTCCCAGCAAGAATACTGTCTCTTCAGGGAATGGCAGCTCAGTGTGTTAATGGAAATTTTTACCATTTTTGTGAGGTTCTGGGCCAGATGTAGTTTCAGGCCATTTTGGTGCTGTTCTCTCATTCTTCCTACTCTAAGGAGTTTGTTTTATGCTAACTATGGAAAGGAGTGTTGTTGTTTTCAAAAGAGTTTGTTTTATGCTAACTATGGAAAGGAGTGTTGTTGTTTTAAAAAGATCGCTGTCTCTTAAAAAATACTAACAAAACAACCTGCATATTTTAGAGGCATTTACAGAAAAATGCTCCATAGGTTCCATTATTAAAAATACTTCCATGGTGTATTGGGAGAAGCTGAACACTGTGGCATTTTTCATCTGGAAAAGGTTGCCTCTGTAGAGCTCAGTCGCAAACCTCATCCACACTGATTACATGAGGGTGCATTAAAGCTTCTATTTTTAAGAGGTTCACTTGCCAAGTGTTTCATTGGCTCTGGGTTGGTGTGTTTATATTAGTAGTGTCTTCCTTGTTCATTGTCACTTTGCCCAGGCTGGGAAGTTGTGTGTTTGGGGAACAGTGCTCACTTAGCCAAGTGCACCGTGTCACCTTTAATAGCGCGTCGTGCACGCTTCCCGCGCGTCTTCAGGGGACGCCTGCTGGCTGGCCCCTGACATATCCTCTGCATTCAAGTAAGTACAAGGACAAGCTTCAATTTGTAGATTCCTTGCTTTTTATCCTCCTCACCCCAAAATACATCCTAGGTATAAGCGGAGTATCAAACCAATAGATACAGATGCAAGAACTAAGCAGATTCAAGAACCAAAATGGCTAGAGGAACAAAGGTAGTTGAATTTGCAGAACATGTCTGATGTTTGTTAAAGCAAAAGTAATGGTTTTATGCTCCTTCTGCGAAAAGGCATATCCTTCTTTAGGAAAGAATAAGAATAAACTGAAAATTCTGCACCTGCATAGATTCTTGAAAACCCCTGAGACTTGTATCTGGCCTGTGTAGTACCACTCTTTAAATTTATAGGACAAGGAAATAATAATGGTTGTAGCAACATCTGTATTTTGCTAGATTTAATTTTTTTGCAGAGCACAAAATCACTTTTCAAAGTAATCTGAGCTACTAGAAGGGTAGATCATGGCCTAGGATCAGCTATGCTTTTGAGTAGATGAATTTGTTTAAGCAGTACAATGAACCTAAGTGTTTCCCAAAAAACACACAAACAATATGATCACTAATGTAATGCAAAGGGAGGTTTATAACATGCCAGAATAACTGATATTTGATAAGAGTATTTGTCTTAAGTGTCATATGTGGAAAATCTGCTCTTCATGTTAAATGAGGGGAAAAAGGAAAGTACAACTTTTTTCCTGCAGAATCTTCTAGTAGTTCTGTAACATTAAACCTGGAGAGATTAAGTAATACATTACATAATTATTTAACACTGAACTGGATTTTCATTGTGGGTCAGGTCAGAGCTCAAGCTCTGAAAGAATTGAGTTGTATAGATAAAAGTGGTCAGATGACTGGTCATACATTTTGTAACATCGGCTGAAATGTTTTCAAGGTGAGAAGAATGTAATCTCTGAAGTGAAGGTCACTTAAGCTAATAGCATAGCTCTGGTGGCTGATGGAAAGGTGTAAAAGGTGTTGGTTGAGATGGGAACAAAGCAGGAGAATAGATGTGTATTGGTACTTCTCTCAAGGTGTTCAGGTAGGCTGATGGATTATATCTTGACTACTAGAATAGGATACTCCTTTGAGACTACCCTGGGCCAGGTATTGTATCTTTTATAATCTCTTATGCTTTTTTCTTTTGTGCTCTGCCAGCTGTCCTTTTCCCCAGGGTTAAAAGAAAAACAAACCAACCTGCCGGCTTACCTGTGCCTTTTGGAAGAGAAACCTTCTTTATAACAGGAAAGCTCTTTGTGCTTGCTTTTTGATGTCTCTTTGGATTAGCAAATGCATTGTTTCCCCTTAACCTTGTTCAAGATTTCCTTGTAGGTTCTATTGTCCTGTAGTTTTTGGAAAGACAGTTACGTAGTTTTTTGAAAACTTAGCCTTAAAGGATGGCAAAGCCAAAGAGTGCATTTCAGTTCTTTGCATCTTGAAGGCGTATAGAGATCAATCAACTCTGTATGTTTGAAGTATCTAAAGTGTGTAGTGAACTGTGTAGATATTTAGTCCATTTCACTGAAGGAACTGTATTTGACATAATTTCAGTAGCTTGGCCTTTATTCAGTGGGTACTGATGATCAACTTAACAGTTCCTTCCACCCCAAGCTGGTTAGACCTACCTCAGAAATAAACTAAGCAAGGTACAAAAATTATCCCTGCTTATCTTTTAGCTAAGTATTATCTGTTACACAATAAATAATAACAAGCTACATTTGTTAAACCATTTGGACATGTTTGCACCAAATCTCATTTCTAAGACTTAATACAGAGGTGTTTAAAAACCTTTTCACATGTCTACTTTTGGAGGTTGTCTGGAAGGGAGGTGAATGAGGAGGAGGATCACAGTAGACTATCTGAGGATTGTGGTCAAAATACCTGGACTCAATAGTAGACAATATTAATATAAGATACTGCTGTGGATGTGGATTTCAGAACTAAACTGGTGTAATCCATAAAAATTCACGGATTTTGGTATCGTGATGAAGTTTAAACCAGTTAACTTATTTTTTAAAAAACTAAATTATCTTTCATACCAAAACATTTAATTAGATGAATAGCATTAAAAGCGTAGTAATGTAGCTTAAAGACAATAGTTTAAAATAACGTACATATGAACCTACTTTTGTATTGTCAGACAGTCTGTCACTCTTACTTTGTTACCTGCAGGATGATTCCATGATCAGTCGTAGGACAAGCATGTGTTCACAGGAGTCAGTCAAGTCCTGTCTCTTTGTAGGTCTGAGATTTTTTGATTCTCACCCTTGAAATGTGTAAGGAAGAGCAGAACACAGTAAATGGCTTTAAACTTACTTTTGTTCATAAGATAAATTGTGTGATTTCATACACAGAAAAAACTAGTTTAAAGCAAAAGTCTTGAAAACACTTCATAAGAAGATTTGGAATTTGCAAGAGCCATGTTCCCTTTAACTGAGAGTTCTGGAAGCACTTCAAAATGAAACCTAATCTCTGTTACTAATACCTTATACAAACATACTCATTTTCTGTTTAGTTAGGGCACTAGAAAATAGTAAGTTTTGCTCAGAGGGGGGTTTACACTAGCTGCACTGTGGTCTGCAGGCCCCTATGTCTAAAATACAACATTGAGTTAAAAGTTATACGTTGTTCATTAGGGTCAGGGTAAAAATAGATTTTGGTAAAGAAAAGTAGTCTTACTCAAGGGATAAGAGGAGCTGAATATCAGAAAGGCCTTTGAAGGTCTGACTAAATTCATAGTCCTCAACAGAAGCAGTTGGAATGTCAGCAGCTTAGTTATACATCCACATCTTGCTGATCTTACTTGCCTGTTGACTATTATGGAATACATTCACTCTGTATATTAAATGAATTCTGCCTTTCTTGTTGCCTGTTCCAGTGGATCTGTGCCACACCGTGTGTTATAGTTCAGATAATTTGCTGTGATTCATGATTCCTCATTTGTGGACTGTCTTTAATCCTTACTTGTGTGTTACCCTGGCCTTCCTGACTGCTCTGCATCTCAGTCTTTACTGTGTTGGTTTTTGCTTCCTATGATAATGGTCCCTGCTTTGACTGTGTGCTTTTTCCTTCTAACTTGGCAACCACTCTTCTTAAGTTTTGATCTTTTTCTGCCCTACCCTTGCCAATTCAGTTCACACCCTGTCAGCTCAAATGGGAAATGTCTGCTGTGTCTGTTAAGCACTGTGGATAATTTCTTTCCTCTACTTTTATTTTCCTTGCACCTAATGAAACTGGTTCTGAGAGCTGTGAAACAAGCATGAGTTTTCTCTAAAATTCCTACACAACCTCCACTCTCAAGTTTTCTTTGCATGGTCCTCCTGGTCTTTTAAGATGAGTGACAAGTCCACTATAAAGCGACTTCACTTTCATTTTGTTCCATTAATAGATTCTCTCACTTTCTTGTGCTAGCTTTTCAAGTCATCTTAGGGTTCTTTATAAATGCTGTCACCACTTTTCCCATTTTGTCTTTCTGTACTGCTTGTTAAGTTCTCTGTTCAGGGAGATAAAAGGTGATGAGTCAGGGAAGTTTCTAACTACTTATTCAGATTAAATCCCTGGGTAGGACTCCAGTTCAGGCTCTTTTTCCAGCTTCCTTGTTGAAATACGCATTTACTGGTTTAGCTTCCTGGATAACTCTTCTTCCTGTCTAAAAGTCTTTGGTAGCCTTGACTTTTCAGTTCTTGTACCATTTTATCTTCAGTATATTTTACATGTCATGGAGGTTGTTGCAACCGCATGTAATAATATAATTAATATTGTCATCCACTATACTGATTATTGACCACTTTTTCTATGGCTTTGGATTTTAGTATTTTTGAGATTCAGCTTTATAATTCTAACTTGGAAATTTCTCCATAAATACTAAGTACTTTTCAAAATAAAACTATTGATAGTTTGAAACATTTTGTGGTTTTAAAATTGTCTGAACAAAGTGAGAATGTTTGCCTTCAAATTAAAAAAAGTCCTGCATTGTGATATTTAAGAGGCAATGTTGTGTTAAACATCTAAAATTAAGGTAACAGATAATAATCAATAAGGTAACAGGTACTATGGTGAAGTTTGTTATGTCTGGGATAGCATTTTTAACAAAAGAAAATTTCAGAGAACTTTTTAAAAGAAGTAGGGTTTTGAGCAAGGCACTGTGGTGAGTTGCCTTGAGAAAGCAGTAGTTTTAATGCTGTAATGCTGCCTTTTTGTTAAAAAAAATCATCATGTAGAAAGGATACTCTGTGATAATAATGTTGTCTGCCTCAGCCAGTTAATTTTCTATAGAATTTCTATCCTGTTTCTATTCTAGTAAGCTGTGCTGTGCTTTGGTATATATATTTTTATGTATAGGGACTGGTGAAAGAAATACATGTTTAGTTTATTAAGAAATGCTGATAAGTTTATCTTCCTTTTCCTGCCCAGTATGATGAATTGGTTCCTGCATCCCTGACAACCAAATATGGAGGGTTTTATATCAACACTGGTACACTGCAGTTTCGCCAGGCATCTGAATCAGAGGATGAAGACTTTGCAGAAGACAAAAAGCACAGGCCACCTAAAGTGAGTGATTTTAATTAAGGCTTTAATACAGAAATAGAAGCTAGGTGGACGTTTGAAATATTTCATACACTTAGAATGGCTCAGATGAAGAGTCCAAAAGCAGAATGATGCATGGTACTGTTTTATTGCTTTTTGTGGCTCATGTATTAGCATTCAGTAACTAACTTAGGGTGTCCACAGGCTGTCCAGTCTTGTAAGACTAAGCATCTGTTTGGGCAACCTGACAAGTTGGGTCCACCCATCTTGAACTGACAGATGATTCTGTAATTTTGTAAGAATTTTATTAGACAAGATGAGACCTTAAATTCATCAGTACTGTTCTTAATGATTTTTCACAAAGTTTACATTATATGAAATTTTTCCTAATACTGAGAATTTTAAATGAAATTTAACCATATTTAACCATTAAACCATATTCTAAACCAAAATACCTGTTAAAATAAACTCAATTAAGAATAGCTATATTAAAATTATATACACAATCTTTCCAAACAGCATGCTGTTCTATAAATTTTGACAAGTTAGTCAATGCAAACTTAATTGCAATATGACATTTACAAGCTGCATGCTATTTCTGAGAACTTAGTGCTTCCTGGTGTCCTTTTCTGCTCTATAACACTTAATTTTAAGGTTCTTGTAGTGACTCTCACTGGGATGCAGATAATGTTCTTTCTAGCAGCCTGTATGATGCTATGGTTTTGATTTGTGACTAAAATGGTGTTAACTACACCAGAATTTTGCCTGTTGCTGCCTAATGCTTGCACAGTCTGAAGGCTTTCTGTTTCCCTGCCCTGCACCCTCAGATAATCTAAGGATGGGTAAGGGAGGGGAGGCAGGTGGATCAGTATTTGCTGTATTGACCAGCAAAGATGTTTCATAGTGGTCAGTTCACAGTCAGCAGTGGAGCTTTGGCAGCAGAAGAGGGTGCAGGAATTCCATCTTCCAAGGTAGCCATTGGCCATACTGGCTGGACAGCAGTCTGCATTTACCTTAGAGTATTTATCTTACTGAAAACTCTAAATTTCATAACTGTTTAAAAATGATTCATGATTAATAGTAGCCAGTAACTGAAATTGCTGCTAGGAATCCATTGTACCATTTGCCTTTACACACATTGGGGTGTTTTTCCTGGCTCTGGATTGGAAAGTGTAAAAAAAACCTGAGTGTTTCTTCCTGTAGAAGTCCTTTAGGGTGGAAGAATCATTGTTTATTTGATCTCTTTTCTAGATAGCAAAATTGAAAGAAAGTGAAGATCGTGGAATGAAGAAACGCAAGCGAAAAGATGAAGGGACAGAAAAGGAGAAGAAGCCTCGGAAAATGAAAGTTCCTAAGCAGTTGGGGTAGGTTTCTTTTTCTTTATAAGAACCCTTCAATTATATTTAAGGTTTGACTTCAAAACTGTGTGCCATAGCAAGATCATTACAGCTCTTTTGAAAATTGTACTTTTAAACTGTAATTAATATCTTAGAGATTTTGTTTCAGAATTTGTGTGGGATTTTTATATTACTCAGTCCTATGGACTAAATTTTTGTCCCCTGAAACTTTGCACAAGGAAAGACAAATCACAGAAAATAAATTTTGAGTATTATGAATAGCATAAAGCATCATACCCAACATCTAACCTAGCACTAGGAATTGCATATTCTAATGAAAAATAATTTTCTTCCTATCTTTGTTTCTCATCTATAAAGCTGTAAATACAATTTAATTATTCTTCTCAGTAGTTCTTACTGACTTTGTGCTTTCCTGAGTTCTGAGGCTAGCATAGAAAGATTAAGGTGGTGGGACTAGATGAGGTGGCTGCTAGAAAACTATTGTTAAGTGGATGGAGGCTGTTTTACTGTGAATATTCACATCAAATATTGAAAATTTATTGACCTAATTTTTCATCAAGGTGACAAATTGGTGGCATAGTCTCAGTTTAAGTAAAATATAGATTTTGAGCCTGCATTTAAAAATTTTTAGCAATGAAAAGAATTTAACATATATGCTGTACAGGCAACCTGCAACTGTTCAGTTGTCTTGAGAGGCAAATGTAAGTATTTTAGTATTGTAAATCTGCTGTGAGTTTTAACACTTGTCCCAACTTCTCCATAATTAAATTGAGAAGTCAAAAGGAAATAACCTTTGCCTTAATGTGTATAAAACGTAACAAATCAGTTGAAGAACATGTAATCACATGACCACCTAAGGTTTATGGTAATTGATAAAATGGTCTGAAGATGGAAGCAGGAAGTACTTGCTTCTTCCCCCTATAAATTTTAATTGTACTAAACTTTGAGTTGTGTTGTTAAAGGTTACTAAGGCCTCAAAAGTCAACACTAATGAAAGATTTCTTTCCTCTACAGAGTAATGGCCTTAAATTCACACAAGTCTGAGAAGAAGAAAAAGAAATTGTATAAAGACTCGCTCTCTCTGGCTGCCATGATCCGTAAATTTCAAAAGGAGAAGGAAGCCATGAGGAAGAAGGAACCTAGTCCAAAACCTCCAGTGACTGTTGCAACCTCTACCCCTAGTAAAATTCCTTCCTCCTCTCTCAGTGCAGGAAATGATATCTCTGACTTGAATCTTAGGATCAATGATCCTGTCCTCTCCATTTTTGGTAGCACAAATGAACCTGAGCTCCTGCAAGAAACTGAAAGTGCCCTGGAGATGCTGGGAGACATTGACTTTGACAAGTTGCTCGATGGCACGTCTGATGGCAGCCCGGTCTCTGAGCTGTCAGGAGAGAATGGAAATGTCACTCAGGCAACCTACACCTCTCAGGTCATGACACCCAAGCAGGTGCCTGCCCTCCCAGAAGGTCTGCCTATGCTACTTGAAAAGCGCATTGGAGACCTTCGAACAGTAAGTATGAACTCGCTGGTAGTGGATTGCATTCAAGAATCTGAGAGAACAAGGAAGAACAATTAGGACCTTGAGTGTCATCCTTGAATTGCTGGCTGAAACTTTAGAAATGAAGAATTGATGTTAATGGCAATCTTAAAGGCTGTGTTTATACTTGGATGAAAAAGGGCAGAGATGATGCAGGTCAATTGTTTTAGCAGTGTTTGTTTCACATTGGAAACAGGGTTTTCTAAATCTTCTGTGTACAATAACTTGTAATGTTCATTTATTTATGGGTTTTTCTCCATAATGAAAATACCAGTGTTATTTTAACTTGAATTATTGTTTGATAAAATGGAATGGGTGTTTTCTTACTTTGGAGGAGGTTACCTGAAATATGACTGCAGCTTACAAATCCATGTATTTTGGATCCAGGTTTTTTGGCTTTAACTTGCCAGTTAAAAAAAAACAAGTGAGAAAAAAGCCACCAAAACCAGAAACCACCACCCAACTACAAAAAGCAAACAACCAACCACAAAACTGAACTTTTTCTTCTGGAAGGTTAGAATGGAATCTGAACTTCTCAAATATTGGTTGAAAGATGTTAAATTACCAAGTTATGAATATTCTAGTAAGTTATTGAAAGGGATCAGAGCTATTAAGGTATTACATACTCCTTGTTTCAGTTATGGATGTTATCCAAAGTTGAGAATAAATTTGTTGCTTGTTCAGATTATGATATTAAAGCTTTTCCTTACTTAGAATAAAGTGCAGCTTTTCCTTTTTTAGTATAAAGTGCAGCTTTTCTTTACTCAGAGTTAACTGCTTTTTCAAAACTTACTTCCTTTTTTGAACAAAAAGAAAAAAATGTAAACAATTGCAGAGCTTGCTTTGCTCTTACCTGTATAGAAATGTCTTCTAGTTTTTTCTTAATTTATTTTTAAACATACCAAGCTAAATACAGCCAAGGAATTAATATTTACTGAAGTGAAGGAGCTTCTGTCTGCCTTTCAGTATGCATGTTAATTTTGCTATGAATCAACAATAAGCTTCTAGCAAAAGTGCAGAAATGTATTAGGCCAAAATTCAGGAAGTGTTAGTGACCTACCCCAAGTTCATTCATGTTGCTTCTCTGTATAACAATCCCAAACCAGTTGGGAGGCATCTTTAATTCCGTGGCTCTTGGAAAACATAACTCCTTACAGAATCATAAAATGGTTTGGGTTGGAAGGCTCTTTAAGATCATCCACTCCAATCCCCCTGCTGTGGGCAGGGACACCTTCCTCTAGACCAGCTGGGAACTCTTCCATTTTTGACAGTGTCTTCTGAAAGCTTCCTGGCTAAGCAGAGGAAGTTTAAGTTTATACTTGCGGAACAACTAGACTGACTTAAAGATTGCAACTTCCATACCTCCTATAAATTGCAATCAGACATCTTCTAAAAAGCACTAAAAATGAAAGTCTTGTCAAATATTTACTGGACTCTCGCAGCTTTAGATCTCTTTAGCACAAAGGGGAGTTTATAAAGCTGGAGGAAGAAGCCTATGCTCCATGGATGGAGTATAATATATCAAGATTAAAAAATTAATGAGATTAGAAAGCCACTGACTAAAGGCAATAAAAACTTCCTGACTTCCTTTGGTGGATTCATGTGTTCTAGTTCCCCGTGTGGGTTATTCTGTACTACCATCACAGAAGGCAATATTGTATACAAGCAGGAAAGTAAATAAAAGGGGTTTTTTCTATTTTGAAGGTCACTGTCAAGATAATCACTCTGGAAATAAAACCCAACCATAGTTAGTAATAGTGATGAAGTTTTTGAATCTGCCAGTGTTGCTCTCTTTAGAAGCCAGCAATGCTGTCCAGCATAATAGTATAATGCTGGAATTGCCTTTCAAGGTCTGCCTGGGACTCAAATGTCAAAGCTTTTTCCTTCTGCTTTGTAGAAACCAGATGATGACTCTGATCCTTGTGTTCATTAGGCATAAAGGTACTAGATTTAAGGCTTTCTGACTTGTCTTTTTGGTACCCTATTGCTTGCAAGCATCTATAACCTTTCTAATTTTTTTAGCAGGACAAATGCTTCAGTGTTCTTAAACAGATAGTACCATCCCCTCAGCAGCTGTAATTATGGTAGAAAGCAATGAGTGGAATGCAGTCCTTGCAGGAACTTAAACTCCAGTATCAGTGTTCATGACTGAAGTGATAAAGCATTCACACAATGGGCTACCTTACAGCTTTGAGTGTCACACTCTTTTCCTGTGCAGTTCACACAGGAAGAGAGGGAGAGTTCCCAATTTTTAGAAAACATTTTTATTTCAAATTTAAATGGGTCAGTTACAAAGAGCAAGAACAGTAAGTATTTAATAGTTTAATAGTCATGTTAACACTTCCTAGTTTTTAGTTCTGTGGTTGCAAGTCACTATGGGATATTTTAAGGGCACTTTTTTCTTGACTTCTGAATTTCTGCAGAGTAGATGTACACTAGAGAAAGGTTCTTACTGATTTTTGTAAAATGGTGCAGGGAATTGGCTTTGTCCTACAAGCTGTCATTCCTTGTGAGGAAAAAAAAATGTATCTAGGTGATAAGAACAAAGATAGAGGGCTTCTGTGTGGGAATTGCTGGGAGATAAGTAAAAACTTCTGATAAAAAGAACAAAAATACCAGATAAAAATACTGAAGATACAGTCTAAAGATGGCAAGAATGCTGGACAGCAGCAGAAAAGAGGGATGAGGTGTTCCTCTAGCATATATAATCCTGTTGTAGAAATTGCAGTGAAGGTTTGAGAGAGCTCTGAGAAAGCTGGAAAGATGCAACTGGATGAGGCACATAGCAGGTAGAAAAAGATGGAGTAGAAATGTGTTAGTTAATGCTCTTGCCTTCTTGACCTGTCAAACAATGCTTCTCTTTTTAAAACAGAGATAGTAGAATGTTGGTGGTGGTGATGGTGATAAAGCATCTACAATTTTCTTAATGGTTATTCAAAAGATGAATGTGTTAACATCAGTGATCCAGGCAGATCCTAAACAGAATGATTGTCTGCCCTAGAGCAAGGTGTGTATATTTGAGTATAACAGTAACAATCCTCAGTTTTTTGCTAAACAGCTGAGAATATCTTGGTTTTCGTTGTTCTTTTCCAAGTAACGTTTTTGGGGAAACAGGAATATGATGTGGATGTAAAAGTAAAGATACAAAAATTGTTAGTTCAAAATACTCTATGAACTTGAATGCTTTTTTTTTTTTTTTGTATTTTTAGGCTGCCAAGATGTTTGATGAAGAAGGCAGGAAGAAGTTTTTCACACAAGACATGAATAATATTCTTCTGGAGTAAGTGCTTATCTGTAGAACCTTCCCTTTTTGGAAAGGGGGTGAAAGGAAAAGTACAGAAGAGGAAGTATTATTGAGGTTGTTCCAACAAATCCCTTAAAAGTCAATGAAGGTAGATCAGTCTAAGCTAGTTATTAGCTAAAGAGATTTATATATGCATACAATTCCTGTCATGTATGTCTGTCTTTATCCAGTGTAACATGTTTTGTAGTGCCCTGGTCATTGACTTCATGTGTAAAATTCAACAAAATTGCCTTTACTCCTGTCTCCCACTTTTGTTACTCAAAGGACCTTCAGCTTTCTTGAGGGCAAACACCAGATTTTTTTCTCTGTAATCTTCAATTAAGGGTTTCATATAGAAAGTTCTGTGTTTGTAATCTATGAAACAAAAGTAATCTCTAGAAGACTATCACAAAGTGTATCAATTTTGATTCACTGTGGTGGGTGTAAACTAAATTTGAATGAGTGTTCAACATTGCTGGACAACTACATATATGAATGGTTTCTTGCCATTGATTAGGACTTCTTCCTTTTATAAAAAAAATCTTACCTGAAAATATCCCAAGCTGCTATTTTTAGTATGCATAGCTGGAATATGCTATGCTTCCAAAGCTTCCTTAGGTTTTTGTTCAGATGTCATCTTTACCTTGGAGTGTGTGTGACTGGGTGTCTCCTGTTGGTTTGTCAGTATTGAGCTGCAGTTGCAGGAGGTGAATCCTGCCGTCCGCAATGGAGTGTACTCACACCTGGAGGCTTTCGTGCCGTGCAATAAGGACACGCTGATAAAGCGCCTGAAGAAGCTGCACCTCAATGTCCAGGTAATGATGGGGAGAGGAGCTCCAGCAGGAGTCAGTTATATGACAGCAAGGAGGACTGGCTGCAGCAGAGTAGAGCAGTAGCCATGCAGCCTCGAATCAAGAAAAATGTTTTGGATCAGTTGCTAAATAAGTTTAAAAGCTTCTTTCCATATACGTGATACTGTCACTTCGTTAGGAACAAATTTTTAAAGTGTTTCAGAGTCTTTAGTTGAGAATTAATTGCTTTCATCTTGAAAGCTGGAGACAGGCTATTAAGGAGTGTTTCTGCTGTCATCATTAAGTATTACTGTAGTCATAGGGTACATATCAAAGCAGCAGAATTAGAAAGCCACAGTAATAATGGTTATCATAGGCTAAAAATACGTACTTTTGTTTTCACTTTTGTGTCAAGAAAAAAGGAAGGCTACGTGGATAATAGATGACCCAGCCTGTATTATTTGTTCAAATTTCCTTTTGTGGCTAGGTCTTACAAATACTTTGTATGACATTTTCAGTTACTTTTCTTTTGAAGATTGTTTTCCTGTTGAATAGAAAAGTTACCTGTGATCTGAAGTACTGTGACTGGGTTCTTTAGATAAAATCCAGGACTAAATCTTGCATAGGATCTGAAGATGAGTGCAGAGATCTCAGTGCTTGCTAATAAGGCAAACAGATTCAAATGCTATTTCTAAGCAGATAAAAGAATATTCTAGTTCTTTTCAATAAGCAATTAAAATTAATAATGTAAAGTCACAAGATATAGAAAGTGAATTTAAAACATGTAGCGAAGTGTACAGTATATTACCTTAATGTTTGAAATTCTTAATATTTGGAGACAATTCTAAATACACAGTCCTTACCTTTCAGGTACATAAAGTGCATGTAATAACAATCTACTGCTTGGATAATATAATACATATTCGTATTTTATTCATTACCTAGGATGTTTTTTTACCACAGTTTCTGGAGACCTGATTAACAGGCTGCTTATTTGCAAATGTTGAGATATTGATTGGTCAGTTTATTTCACTTTTTTTCCCTTCCCTATTTTAATTTAAAGGCATTATTTAAAGAGATCATGCCATAATGCTTTGGGATGTTCGTGACACATTTATTTATGACTATATTTTTTTGTTTCTGGTCTCAAGACTTACATGCTTTTATATAATGCTGTTGCACCTAACAGGATTGAAGTGCCATGTAGAAATATGTCTGTCGCAGTCCATAAATAGTACTGGGAATGTTACCTTGGGAATGATCCAGAAATTTTCATGAGACTATCTGAAATGCTCTTTATTTTCCATCTAATAGGATTATTTTGGTACTCCTCTTTTCACAGGATGACCGCTTGAGAGAGCCATTGCAGAAGCTGAAGCTGGCTGTCAGTAACGTCATGCCTGAGCAGTTATGCAAGTATCAAGAGGACTGTCAGGCTCGCAATCAAGCCAAGAATGCCAAGTAGGTTATTCTGGAGGCTGTGCAAGCCTGTTTAGAGCCCAGCTGGAAGTTTGTATCCATGTTCTTTACTTCCTTAGCTCAGAAAATCACTCAGCTCAAGTTTAAGGGTGTCTTTTTTTAATTGTACAATATACTTAATTTTGTGTAGGTGTTATTGTCTGACATCAGAGAGAAATTCCATTAACTGAGTGAGGTAGGTCTTGATAGAAAAAAATAATCTGAAGGATTTCTGGTTGACTCCTAAAATGGTAGATTAATGGAGAAGGATGGTGTGTTGAGGTTACTGATGTATTTTGTCCTTGTTCATGGTAATTGTTTAGTTAAATAGTTAAATAATTTTAGACTTGGAGAGTTACTAATAGTTTGATAAGTACCCTGCCAGTTCCCAGTAGAAGCATTGCTTGAGCTTATAGGGACATCACTGACAGCATCTGTGTGTCCTTTTCATTTCTCTAAGAACCAGAAAACAAAGGGGAGAGGGAGATTAAACTGTTTATCCTACAAGGAAGTGTAGCAAAAATCTGAAAATAGGTTCTCTTTGGGTTATTTTTCCCCCCTAACACGAAGAATGACACTCCTTGAAATACTTAGTCTGTGTAGTATAGTTCTAAAGAAACTAATTGTTCCAACTGTAGGTTGCAAGCAGAAGATGAACGAGAGAAGAATGGATCAGAGGAAGATGATGATGAGAAACCTGGAAAGAGGGTTGTTGGACCCAGAAAGAAGTTTCACTGGGATGACACAGTGAGGTAAGACCAGGAATTCTGACTGACTTTATAAAGGGATCTCCAAGAGGATGTTATTACATGATACTGTTGAATAAATAATTTTTCCCAGAATTACATCTTGGAGAAGTTTTGAAGAGTGTTGGCGTTAAATAAGCAAACTGGAATTCTGTAATGGTGAAACACCACCTTCTTTAACTCAAAAGGAAAATCATCCTTTGTCCAACCCTTTCAAGTTTCACTGCTTGTTTTTCTGCTTTATCCAAATACATGAGAATTTTCTGACTCCAGGACTTTGAGCTTCTTTAGGCAAAGAACAGGTGTGTAAGCCATATTATAACTGCTTCCCACCTTTCTAGGAATACATTACAAATCACCAATGAGCACTAGACATTTCTGCCACAGAAGGACAGGCCATCAAGATTGGTGATATTGATTTGGCAAGCCTCCCAGTCCAACAACTAGAATAATGCATTAATCTTAACTCTTCTGTTCCCTCTGAACACAAATTCTTTATCTCTCAAGAGTAGCACAGATTCTTATTTGACGTGATCAGATACTGGAGTTCGGTTTCTTAGAACAAATTTTTCTGAAAACTGAGATGACTACTATTTGAAATAATCTAGACTTTTAAGCAAGCACATCTTTCTAAATTAGTAGTTTCTCATGCAAGATCTAAGATAATTTTAATATAAATGTGTGTGTGTATATGTGCATGTATGTATTACTAAAAGGGACTGGTGGACTTCTCTCAATGAGTTTTTTAAGTATGTGAAGACAACAGGGAAGAAAGCTTCATTAAATATGTACAAGCAGTACAGCTTGGACTGACCTGGAGGAGAGAAGTACTTAAATCTGTTGCTTGCTTTCATTCAAGAGGCTCTGAAAGGATGATGTTGCTTATCTGTGTGCATTTCTCTATTTTTAAGAACAAAAGACAAAATCTGTCAGAAAGAATCCTCTATTGAAGTGCACAGTGTAGAATGGATTTCACTTCCTTTCAGACAAATCAGAGGTCACTGTGAGCAAAATGAGAGGAGATGTTCCAACTATGAAAAAACCACAGAGAAAATGTAAAACAAATTACAAAATGATAGTAGGATGAAAATAAGAGCAATAGAGTCTGTTGGAAATGGAGAAGTGACAATGGTAGAGCATACCAGCTTGTAGTAGCAATACTTGGTGCAGTATAAACTTAGAAAAAACACAGTTGGAGCTGAGCACTTCCTACAGCTATCAGTAGACAGCAGCTTCAATTTCTAGTCTTTTTCTGCTGAGCTTTTGAAAGGACTGTGTCTTTCAATATATTTTTGTTTCTTTTTGCAGGTCTCTGTTGTGTAATCTTGTCAAGATCAAGCTGGGATGTTATGAGCTAGAGCCAAATAGAAGTCAGTCTGCTGAAGATTACCTCAAAACCTTTATGGAAACAGAAGTGAAACCACTTTGGCCTAAAGGCTGGATGCAGGCAAGGTAAGATAACTACTTTAGGTATTTACTCATTTTGATGTTAATGATTTCTTCAGTTCCTATTTATTGTATTACATTTGACTCAGCCATGTACTATTGATATTGGTTGGAACTTAGGCGTGTGTTTGTGAAGCTGGAATAGTTTAGAAGAACAAATATTTTTCTAAAATGAGTTTTCTGTCTTGTTTGTAAGCCCGAGAGTGAAAAACCCACTGTTTCGCTTGGACCGCTATTTGCTTTTATCTTCTCCTAGAGACTGAATTTCCTTCCACTTCTAACACAGCATGAAGCTTCATTTGAGGAGAAGGGTGGGAGGGTAACAGCTTGGAAAGTTCTTTGTGATATAGGAAGTGATAATGATCTGGAAATCAGTTTTGCCTGTATGTTGGAACACTGCATTATTGGACTGCTCACACAGGCTTTAAAATTATAGGCTAGAATTTTGATGGCAGTGTTCTCAACAGGCTTAAGATTCTTGCTCTCCATTTCTTGTTTGCAGTTGGGATGCTCTGTTTTACAGCAGTTAAAAATACACCAGTTTCTATACTTGCTTCTTCCAGACATAAGAAGAAATAACCACACAAAAGAGAGGGAGAAATAAAATGGGAGCAATAGTAAACTGTTTTGAAACGCAGGTTTGGCAGAGATTTCTAATGGTTTGGAGTGAAAGAGGAGCAAGTATGATTTGGCATGAGTTCTTTCTTTCTGTAGCACCCACTGCAAAAGATAATTTCATCAAACCTGAACCTGATTGTCAAAGAATTGTTAAGGGTGGAAGGTACCTCATATACTGTTCTGTCCTTTCTTTGTACCATGTCTGATTTCTGTCCTTTTGTAGTACTTAAAATTGTGTCTTTAACCTTGAAGGATGATGCTTCAAATTACTGGGCCCTGTGATTAATTTTGAATTTTCATTTCCAAGTTGAAAAGATTATGGAATGGATAAAGCACCAAGAGAGAGGTGGGAAGGGAGATATTCTGAAGCAGCTGTATAGGTTGCAAGGTGGCACATTAAACATGTAACGAGGAATGTTGGTTTTGCTCCATGATGTTCTTCATAGGTGTTCAGTAGTCTCTGATGGAACAATGCAATATAGATTTGGAGGCTAGTGTGGTGACGAAAATGTGAAAATGGAGCTGGAAATAGAATTGGAGAAGTAAGGCACTGAACTGTAGTGAGAGGATCAGTGTTTTCTTACCAGATCACATTAGATTTTTAGATACTCTGATTTTTTGTAATTATTGCAGCTGTGTAGGTTGTGTTACCAGTGGTGAAAAGCTCTTATTTAGACAGCTGTTCATGATGTGGTCAGTGTCAATGTAATGGCAGTGCTGTTAGAAAATGTCTCTCCTAGTTTGCCTATGTGGAAACAAGGAAGGGGACCAAGTTTTCATTGTCTGTTCATAGCTGCACTTGAATAGTAAGCTGTAGGATAGATACAGCTCAGCAATCATTTTCACTTTCCACTTGGCAACTGAGGAGCTGAAAACATTGAATAAAAGCATGGCAACTATTGAGATTTGTCGTACTGGCTCATGCCATTCCTTGGCTCTGTAGTAATAGGTATGTGTAAGTCCAGTGTAACTGAAGTCAGAGAAATTATACACAATAGTCTCAAGTTTTTCTTTTACTAAACTTTCAAAAACTTTTACTAAAGTTTATTCAGTACTAAAAGTACTGAAGAAAGCTAGAAACAAGCTTGGCTACTGTGTTCAGCCTTTTATCTTCTGTGCTTTAAAAAACCCCACAAGAGATTAATAACCACAAACCCAAGCCTATGGATCAGTGTGTTGGACTGTAGTGTGAAGAGTTTACAATCATTTTTTATTTTATGTTGGAACTATTTCATTAGTCTTTGAGGAGAGAGCATTCTAAGTGTATTTCTTCTGTCCAGTTGAAGGAAGCAATATTCTCTTATGTTGATTTTTGCTTGGCTGTTTACTGAGGTATTTTGAGCATAAACGCAAATTATTATTTTTTTAGATCTTCTGTTTATGGATGCCAAGACCTATACCATGAGAGCAATGCAAAGTAATCATTAGTTCCCTTGGGAACAGATAATCAAAGGCTGGTTCTGAAAACCAAAGGATATTTGGGTATTTGGTGCTCATATGCTGTTTGTCACTGTAGAATCATTTCATGTTTCTTTTCTCACCACTCTTTTAGGATGCTTTTTAAGGAAAGCCGAAGTGTTCACAATCACCTCACTTCTGCTCCGTGAGTATAATAGGGACAACTTGCTTTACAAGATCTTTAGATTGTGCAGAGCATCTTTTCTCATCTTCCTGCTACCTGTTTTAGACCGAGGGAAGGAAAGGGAGGTACTTTGGGACTTGTTTGAAGATACTTACAGTGATGCTTATAATCTTCTTTAATGCTTTAATTTAGGCATATAACTGTAACGTTCTTGTGGCATTATATTTTAATTCACTTGTGAAGTGGCTAGATAACTCCAGGGGAATTAATCCTTGAATTAATACCTTTTACTCAAAGCATTACATTGCCTAAATTTTGACATCCAGCCTGTTAAACTGAACTCAGACTGCAATACTTCCTGCTTTTTTCTTTTCCTCAAAAATATCTCTAATCACAGAAGTCTGTGTATCTCAGTGCGATTTTATCTTCTTCATATTCAAACAACACTGTGTGCCTCTCAGGAGCTGTCCACATTCAGTCAGAATTCAAATAAATTGTTATGACTTTAAATAACACCACAGTTGCAACTACTGTGATAAATATGATTAACATAGGATACTTTTCTACGTAACATCAAAACTGAGTCATGGTCCACCTACAGTAAAGTCTTTTTTTAACCAGGTGTATTTCTAGTTGCTTAGGAAAGAATCAAAAATTGCCTACAAGATGTAAATCTATTGATTGCCCTTGAAGAAATAAAGTGTGAAATGCTGAACCTCTTAAGTTGAAGCCGATAACTAATAATCCTTAATGCTGTCCTTGCTTGCATAACTGCAGTTTTTGTATGTTGCAGAAGAAAATTCAACAGTTTGCTAAATTACTTCTTGCAACAAACAGATACAACTGTTTTAATAGTTGATAAGCAACAAACCACTTTTGTGGGGGGAAGGAACAACTGTTTTTATCCAGCTTGAAATAAATAAGAATAGGAAGCATCCTCCTCAGGGACAGAAATGTCGAAGTAAAAAGTGAAATTATATTGCTATTCTGGAAGACTTCCATGTAGACAAAGCTCTGATAAGTAGGCAAACTCATAATATTAAGAGGCTGAAATTAATTGATATTTTGAAGTTCCTCTAAATCAGAAAAATAAAACCAGCTCTCTGGATATACCCTAATCTATATGTCAGGTTAGATCATGAATTCAGTTGATTTTGCAACTAATTTACATACAGATACATGACCAGAAAAATTAATTGATAGTGTGCTGTTTTTCTTTCCCCCTACATTTTAAACCATTTTTCATTTCAAGGATGTTTTATTATTAAAGCTGGACTCCTGTAGCCATCATTCTAGTTTATTGGGGTATATAATTAGGATAACACTTCAAATGAAAATGCTTTCGTTTTTGGTCTTCTGATGCACGTTTATCCCTTCTGTTTTAGGGCAAAGAAGAAGGTGATTCTGGCCCCTAAACCCAAAGCGAAGGTAAGAGCCTATGAAGATATCTGAATACCTACTTAACGGTCCAATGTGACCATTTGATACAACCTGTTTCTGCCTCTGATCCTGAAAAATTCTTGCAGAAGGTTTGTCAGGCAGTGCTTATTGGCTTGGTGGTGCATTACTTCAGAGAATGGAGTACAAAATACCTTTGTATAGCTTTGCCACTTTAAGCTGTATAGTTTTTTGGCTATGAAGAGGTACTAGTTCCAGTGATGTTTCACATTTTTGAATGTGTGTTTTGTGTGTTCAGTTTGTGTTAAAATTGGCAACGCTGGAAAACAGTGTGGTTGGAAGGATACCATAGTTTAGAGATCCTCATTAGACATGACCAGGTGTTGTCTTAATTCATTAGCAGTTTTACTAAGTGATCAGATTAGCTATCCTATTCTTCACAGCACTGGTTATTCTTCACTGTATGGGACACTTTTAGTGATGTGCAGTAATAATGCTAGATTTTTAAATCCAAATATTGAATTAGCACACGTTGCTCCAGCACCTAGATATTGTAAATATCTTAATATGAAAATTTCAGTAGTAGATCTTTGGTTTGTCTGAATTTACTGAATAAAAGTATTACACTAAAGATTACCTTAAATCAGTTTCAGAAAGACTATTAAACCTGATGTTTCCTATCCCTTCATTTTCAGGACTCCAGTCCAAAAAAAGAACAGAAAACCTGTATGTCTTCAGTCAATTCAAGTTGTGCTACTGTACTGGGTTCCAGTGCGGCTGTGTGCACCCCAGCCAGCTCTAGCTGCACAGCAGCTCCGGAGACGATCTGCTTGGATGACTCACTGGATGAAGACCTCTCTTTCCACCCACCCTCACTGGACTCTGTTTCTGATGCTCTGGCAGTTATCAATAATGGTGCCAAGGGATCACCTCTTGGGTCCGCCATAGACACACCAACATCCAGACCTCGCCCAGGGCTGAGGGAAGAGAAACTAGCAAGCATTATGAGTAAGTTGCCTCTGGCAACTTCAAAGAAAGTAGAGCCCACTCAAACATCCCATTCATCAAGTCTTATTGCTGGTCACACAGGGCCAGTACCAAAGAAACCCCAGGACTTAGTTCACACTGGTATCTCTTCAGGCCTTATTGCTGGATCTTCAATTCAAAATCCCAAGGTTTCCTTAGAGCCTTTGCCAGCCAAACTACTTCAACAAGGACTACAGAGGTCAAGTCAGATCCAAGCTGCTTCCTCCTCTTCTCAGACTCACGTTTCTTCCTCTAAGACTCAAGCAGCTATTTCCACCTCCTCTCAAAGAACCAAGGATATCTTGGTATCATCTGTTGAGGCTCAAGGTGGTACTCCCTCAGCATCACAAGTGACAAAAGTGCACCAGCATTCAGCTGTACAACAGAAATACGTATCTCCCTTACAAGCAACTATTAGTAAATCACAGACCAATCCTGTGGTGAAACTGAGTAGTAATCCCAAACTCTCTTGCTCATCACCAGTCCTCAAGGCTCAAGATAAGTCTGTAGTGTATCGCCTGCCTTTGTCTAATCCCTCATCTGGAAGTGGCTCTCAAGTGTCTCACCCACTGGTTTCTCGGACAGCATCCAGCACCTCTACCTCTAGTAACTATTTAGCCAAGGCTATGGTGTCACAAGTTTCTTCCCAGGGTTTCAAGCCTCCCTTCTCCATGGCTGCCTCTCCCAAACCTGCTGCCTCTCCCAAGCCCACTTCATCTAAGCCCTCTGTGACACCCAAGCCCAATGCATCACCTAAATTTTCATCCAAGTCCACCTCATCCCCCAGGCCTGCAACAACACCCAGTTCTTCCAGTTCAAGTGCACTAGTTTCCCAGAGTAGTCACTCCAGCAACAACCCCCTTCATAAACAGACCAGTGGTGTAAATATCAGCAGGCAGTCTCCCACAGTGAATTTGCTGTCCTCTAATCGCACCTCAGGCCTTCAGCCTGCAAAAAACCCTCAGGCTTCTTCAAAATTGCCCAACTCTTCTCCTTCTGGAACTGTTGGTAAAAATAATCTGGGTGGAGTTGGAATGAATGTACCTGCCAGCAGAGGCAGTAACCTTAACTCAAGTGGAGCTAGTAGGACTAGTCTGTCTGGGGGAGCAGGAAGTGGAACACAGGGTGCTACTAAACAATTGTCAACTCCACACAGACCATCTTCTGCCTCAGGGTCTCCAGTTGTAGCAGCCAGCGTGCAGGTATGAATCAAACGAGTTTACATTTGAGCCTTACATCAATGTTTATCACATTTGTTTTGTAAACATTCTTAGTATATTTTGTCTTGATTGGTAAGTGTCATAAATTTAGTTTTTTACCTTTCTAAGCACAATACCGGTACTGATGAAACTATTTCACACTGAAGAATATATATTTCCAGCTGATGTGAAATGCAAGCATCAGGGTGGATCAAATCCTTACTGTAAACTGTTTGTCAGTCTATACTGTGGAAAAGAATTCACTTTTTTTCTTTTAACAGCACTATAAAAGGTAAGCTTTGTGTGACCATATTTTCAGGGGATGTGGTATGAACTTGCATTATTTGATTTGTGTATATCTCATATTTACATTTTTGTAATGATGGTGGTCATGTAAAAGGTGTGTTCATACATTTGTTGTCAGGCTTCATGATTAACCTCAAAACTAGAGCTCTGTTGCCTATGGTTGAGTGTAATTCAAGTCTTCTAATTAACACTTGCAAGTGCTTTTCTTTTGTATTTGTGACTATGTATCTTATTTTGCAGGATCTAGTTAAACTGAATGAGACACCCCATGAATATATAAATACCCTAGAAACTGAAAGCTTATGCTATCACTAGAGACAAGACAAATCAAACAAAACAAATCTTTTGAAAATACTGTTGTTCTAAAACATATAAACCTATTATTTACCCAGAAGACAACCTGCTTTTCCAAGTTGTGTTCTTCTTACTGGGAATGCTTAATTACTGAGATAATTTGATGTTTTCTTCTCTCTAATGCTCTCTATGCTGAAGTCCTTAATACTTAAGAAAAGTAATATTGCTTTGAATTATGTTCTTGGTGTACAGCAAATGAAAAACTTAGTATTCTGAACAGTGCACATTGCTGTTGCATGGGAGTTATGTATACTCGACTTCTGGCAATATGTTATAATCTTTTCGTTTGCCATCAAATTCTTCTTAATGCAGCTGCATAACAGGAGGAAGATGGTTTTTACATGACACTTCTATGGTCTTCCATCCTACTATACTGAAACAGTTAGCAGTAAAAGTCTGGCAGGCTCTGACACAGCATTCACTTATTCTGGGTGCTTTGAATGGCAAAAAGATCCACAGCTTGGATGCTGTGTACAGGCCACTGAGGAACCACACAGGGTCTGCAGAAGAGCTGAGCCAAGTACAGTGCAGTTTGAGTACTCTTGAAGGTGCCTGGAGGAGACAAAAAGGGCTACAATGAATGGACTGCGAAGAGAGTTGTTTCTTCCTGGTGCAATCAGCAGAACTCAGTGGATGCAATAGCTGCGATATAGAACAAAATGTGAAATGGGTGTGGTAGTGCTTAAAGATGACTGAGAAGGGAAGTAAGCAGTGTTTTGCTGGATGATGAGGTGAATTCTGGCAAACCCTCCTATAGTTGAAGGCAAGGATTTTTTTTGTTAGAAACACTGATCACCCGAGTAATGAATTTTGGCCACAGTCCTACTGAAGAGCACTGAAGTGTGGGGGTGTGTGGTGAACTATCAAGTAACATGAGTCCATACTGTAATACAGCAAAATAAGGTGTGTTGGCATATGGAAAGGGGTAAATCAGCTAAAGGCACTGAGCAGCATGTGGTATCACTAAAATAATTATTGAGACCTTTCATGTGGGTTTTTTTGATACTTCAGAAATTGCTTTCATAACCTAAAAATGGTTCAGAAGAACAGTATGAGATCAAAGAAGATAAACCATGGAATAATGCTGTTGCTGCTGTGCACTGTGAAACTTAGTGAGTGGAGATACATTCAAGGAAAGATTAGAATTAAATTACCTCCCAGTTCAAGTACACTAAAGGGGAAGAGATTTGTGATCACAGAGGTTTTTATTTAGCTATAAAGGTGTAATGCTGGCTGCTGAACCAACTTCAATTCCAGACTAGTTTTTAGGAACAGTGTACTAAGGACTTAGTTACTCCTCTTAAAACTTTACATAAGACTGAAAGTGAATCTCCTTTCTTTTAAGGCCTTAGGGGTTTAATTCCTATTTGAGATGCTGTTAGAAGATGAGAATGGTGCCTGCATTGTTCATTATAATATTCTGGTCTGCTTACATTAAAGATGAAACTAGATTATTTCATGTGATAATAAAGGTGTACTTAACTAGGGAAGCTTCCAAGAAATGTTTCCCTCCTTTCCACTTCTGACTGACACAATTATTTACCAGAATACAAGTTTATACCTGCTGAAGCCTCACAGAAAGTTACATCTTAAGGACACGAAGCCAAAGAGTACATGTGTGATTTCCTTAAAAAGCTCTACCTGCCATTAGTACTCTTGAGCAGAATCTAGCTTAGACTTCTAAGGATCTTAATGACTCAGATCTACATGACCAGGATGAACCCTTTTAAGAACTATTGTACATGAGTTAAATAGAAACATCTGAACTGCAGTTCCTTTAGGCCATGTTCTGTAGCTCTTTTCTTCACTGTACATCTCTCTCCTTTTGAGTAAGCAAGATCTGGGCAGAGCACTTTCCAAAGTTTTTGAGGCATTTTTCAACAAATTCACAGTTGCAAAACATTACTGTATTGCTTTTATTTTGTTGCCCTTTACTAGATTACACAGACAATGAACAGTTGTCAATTTTCTGTACATGAGCTTATTGTGAAAATAGTACTTTTAAAGGCAAAAGAGAATAATAGTGTCTTGATACTTTTCATTCTTCTTTTTTCTACTTGTGGGATAGAGTATGTTGTAGAAGTTGGTACCTTTAAGATGACCAATATAAACACTTGCTAGGAACATCAACTGTAGGTAAATGCCCTTTACAGGGTCACTATTTTAAAATACTGTGTTTTCTCATAAGAAGAAACTGTCCTTTCTTTAGCTGCTTTCATCGGAACATCTTAAGACCAAAACTGGTAATAAAAATTTTTCCATGCTAGGAGATTTCATTACTTTGCTTTTTCTGTAAGTTGTTATTACAGAAATCAGTGAAATGTTGTTTTCATTTTAAGCTCATGTGTTCATTAAAATGATTCTAAGTTTTGGGTTCAGTAGAGGCTTACTTGTAAAAATGCACAGATTTGAAATCCTATTCTGCCTGAGTCTTTTTAATTCAAATAACTACAATATCTGAGTTGGAGTCTGATTCAAAGTGCTTTCTATACTAACTGTTTTGTAGTAGATAATTAGAGAACTGAACGTTAGCATGTGAAATTACTGTATATGCAGTGAAGGCAAGATTGTTAAACAAGAATGAGCTGATCTGCTATTAGAGGAATTAATGCGATTTGGGAGCTGTTGTAGCTAAAATGTTCTGGCTAATCTTGCATTTTTATTTTAAAGCTGCAGTGAATTTAACTTCATTTTGACATTTAGAGTGGAGAGATTATTTTCCTTTGCTTTTTCCTCTGATATGTGCATACATACCTTTACATACATATGTATGTATCCATTTTGCTAACCTGACTTCTTAAGTTTGGGGATTCTTGCATATGAATCTTAATTTTCAGAATTCATTGTTTCTTTGCAACCTCTTTGGAAAAAATGTTCTGTTAAGACCCAGGTTTGGGAAGGGGAGAGGTGTAACATTGTAGTTCTGAAGTACTTCAGATCTTGGGTAATTTCATATTAATAACCGAATAGAAGATATTGTATTACATTGTGACTGTAGACCCAGTACAGAATAAGGAGATCAAGGAAATTACCTGTAAGGCTGATGAGAAAAACATGATAGATGAACCATACTTTTATGTCTGAATGTGCAATATAATTGTGCTTGCTTAGCAAATGAACACTGGGAAGACTTCATGGGTGGATAAGTGGATATTCATTAATAGTTTAATACTTCTCAACAGAGCAACACTTAACAGAGAATAGTTGATTTTTATACCCTTAAAGAATACAATTCAGATCTTTAAAAATCTTGAAGTACTGCCTTTTTCTTTTTTTTTTTTTCTTTTTTTTTTTTTTTTTTTTTTTTTTTTTTTTTTTTTGCATAGTCAACAGCAGGAGCATCTTTACTGGCTAATGCCTCACCTCTGACTCTCATGGCATCACCCCTGTCTGTGACCAGTCAGAACGTGACGTCTGCACCATTAACTCCTTTTGGGATGCTGGGTGGCCTTGTTCCTGTGACTGTGCCCTTCCAGTTTCCCTTGGAGCTGCTTGGCTTTGGGACGGACACAGCTGGAGTGACAACCACCTCGGGATCTACCTCAGCGGCTTTCCACCACAGCCTAACTCAGAGTGAGTGGAATTATGACACTCTGATATAAGGAAAGATGCATCCTTAAAATGGAAATGGAGTAGGGAAGCAAAAAAGTCCTGAGACACTTGGATTTGGTTCATAAAAATCCCTGCAGGAGAGTAAATGGGATTCCATCTGGTAAAAACTTTCTTTACGTAATACCCAAGTGTTATAAATCACCTTTGATAAGCTTAACTTCATTGTTATATTCATGGTATATGTTTAGTTTTGAACATACTTCTTTTCGGTTAACTTCTAATAGCTTATTTTTAGGAAGGAGTGTAGTTTAAAAGCATTCAAATGTCACAGTTCAAATAAGAAACTTAATATGGTGATTCCTCAAAGTAGCCTTAACTCAATCTCAGATATCAAACAGCTCTCTTATGAAGAACTGTCAACCAAGATGGCATTTACTTCTTCTGATTGCTTATAAAGAAGCTATTTGTGTTCTTAAGCCATATAAAATGTTGGATATGAAGAGTTGCATCCCAGTAGCAAGGCACAATCCCTTCTCTGACTTTTGACTAACTATGTTTGAATAGCTTTGTCTTTGTTGACTTATTCCAGGCATCAGAATGCTATCAAGTATTTATTCTTTGTTGTGGAGATAAGCCTGCTACTACAGCTATACTATAAAAACAAAAACTTATTTCACAGAGACTGCCTCTCTTCTCAAGATTTTTTATCTTTGTTTTCCCTTTTTTTTCCCCCAGACTTACTGAAGGGTTTACAGCCAGGTGCTCAGCATGCAGCAACGCTGTCTCACTCACCTCTGCCTGCTCACTTGCAGCAAGCTTACACAGGTAAAGACATGATATGTTTCTTACTACTTTTTTTTAACTTTAAAAGTTAAATTTCTGCCTTAGCGTGAAATGTAATCTACACCAGTATTTAGTTTAGAGAAGACACAACACAGGGACAAACTTTGGGAGCAGCTGGCAGAACTTACTCTATTGTAGCAGTGTTTTGGAACCTGAATGACTTTCTTTTCCCCCTACTTCTATTTAATGTCAGGAACAAAAAAAAAACTTTAAAAATTCCAATACTTTACTGCAACAATTCTAGAAACTGAAGTGTACAAATTCAACGAGTGGGGAAAAAAGGAATAGTACTTAATGGACACTAACTTGGTTGTTTATAGGCTGCATAAAGTTTTTTTCCATTAAAAATTTTAATTTCTCCTTTGAAGGAGAAACTGACCTTCCAGCTAAAAGCTTTTTTCATGTTTCTTATAAGACTGTATTCACATGTGAATGGTGGGATGGTTTGTTAATGGAATGTCTGCTCTTCTTAGGAATTTTATGCTTGATAGGAGATAGTTTGGTTGAGAAGAGAAACTTGAAACAGAACATTTTATTTTTCTGTTTGTAACGCTTAGAGGAGGAACATTTTCAGCAAGCTTTAGAAAGTGCAGTTTAGAGTGTACACCTTTCTTTGTCACCTGTATGTGTTTTCTGGGGGCCAGGAGAAGGAATGGGAAGGGTGGCAGCAGTTTTGTGGGCATTGTTCGTTCTTTATTTGACAGTTCTCAGTACCAAAAAATTGGGCAGTGTTTTGGTATGAAGCTTGATATATCAGGTTTCAACAATGCCATTTCTAATAAATGATCCACAGAAAAGATGCAAAGTCTTCCACTCAGTAAAGATAATGTACTTTTTGCTGATGCTAAAGCTGAACCTGCCAAATTCCTGTCTCTCCTACTGTAAGTTACAAAAACAAAAGTTCACTCATGCTTTTATTCTTCCTTTTTGTTTCTGTCTCTCAACTACAGATGGAGGCCAAAGTAAAGGGGACACTAAGTTACAGCGGAAAAACCAGTGACTTCTGGACAAGCAAGGGAGCTGAAGCAGTTCTGGTTGGCTGACAGAATCTGCCCAGTTGGGAAAGTGCTTATTGTCACAGGGCTGCTGTTTCTGTCAATGTTTACATATTCTGATCCTAAGCACTGTGGTGAGAGGAAGAAGAAAAATAAAACAATACTTGATCAAAGAGAGAAGGAAAAGGAGGACTGGTCCTCCTGGTCATGCAGACTGGTCATAGTTTGATATTGCCTAAAGAAACAACTTTTTTTTTATCTGCTCTGATTGGCTCTTAAAAGAAATTGATCGTCAAACCCACAGCAGCACCAACATTTTGTTTCTGGGTGAAGTCCAATGAAAAGTGGAAGTGGTGAAAGGTGCTAGAATAGGTTTCTCCATTCATTGCATAAGGTGGAATCATCCACTTCCTTAGTGCCCAGTATAAGAGTATGTGTAGGTCCTAAGTGTACTATATGGTTGTGGACCAAAGGTTGTGTAGAATAGAGATGGTGCTGGGATACTTTGCATTATAGTTAAACCTTTAGACAAAAACAGTTTCTGATAATGGGCATTTATCCAGCTTTAGAAGGCTGTTTGGCTTTAGGGAGCCTACAGATGTATGCAGTCTCAATAGAGAATTGTCTTCAAAAACAGATCTCCTGGTACATCAATATGTGAGACACAGACTATTTGATTTATTTTCAGGGTTTTTTTTTTAGTACAAAAGTTCTTATTTAAGGGAGGAAGGGGATGGAAATTCATTTACATTTACAAACCCACATTTTATTGGTCAGACTAGCATTTCTTTCCCACTTTTTTTTTTTAAATCACACTAATATTTCAATATTTTCATTTGTTAAAGTTTCTTTTACCTTTGCTTATTTGCTACTGGAAAGATACTCTATTCATGTCTTTCATGAACCACAACCAGTTCTTTTCTCATTCTCAGGCTTCATCTTTTATCTGACTCCTCCCAGAAGCCATGCATTATATTGATTTGCTAGTTAAAGAAAGCTGATTGTGACCTATTCCAGAGTCAGATTAATACTGCTTCAGGCATTAGCCAAAGAGGAGTCGTTCAAAAGCGACCAGAGGTGCCTTCTCTTCTGGGGGCTGAATGGGTTGTCTCCAGCATTTCCAGCCCCTGCTGGCCTGGGAAGTTTTACCTGAACTCTTTCTTATGTGGTAGCACAAGACTGCCTTTGTTGTTTTGTTTGGTTTTTTTTTTTTCTTTGATAGCAATACATCAGCCGGTTCACATGTAAGATTAGGAAGCATCCAGCACGTGTTGCACTTTTGACACTAGGACAGAACATTGCTGTTGAGTCCCTTGAGCTGTCACATAAAAGGTGAGAATGGCAGAAACTTAAATAAGTCATAGGGAAAAGGAGCAGATAAATCAGTATGACACCCTTCTCCTTCAACCCTGAAACATTCCTTTGACCAGAGATGCTGAAATTCTTAGTAGATAATTTTTCTGGTAGTTTGACTCAGAGATTGAACCAGACACTACTGGTTTTCTCACACCTGTAGAGAGACTTTGACCCCTGAATAATGACTCTTCAGTGTATTTTGCTAGATTACTTAGAGCTTGCAGGTTTCTTTTACATGTGATTTATTTTTCTTAGATCAGACAACAATTTCTTTTCTATTTAGAGCTCATTTTAATTTTATATAAATATATATACATAAATTTAAAATAATATATATTGTGTATTTAGTATAAAAATGTTGGGTTGAGCTCAGCAATAAATGTTTTTGCACAACACTTCTGTGAAAGACAGATTGAATTAAGATGCATTAGTTCATTAGTTTCACTCCACAGCATCTGCCAATTAAATGCTTTTTAGCTGGCACTAATGTTTTGTATGTGGTGTGTTGATCAGATAAGCTTGCATCTCCACCAAGTTTTAGAGTTGAAACACAAATGCTATGTAGACCCTTGCATTAATACTGCACAAATTCTGTCGAAATACCATAAACTATTTAGAGTGCAAGCTTCATCTGATATTTTTTTCTTTTCTCCAGGAAGGGTTGAAGGAAGCCAACTTTGTTTTTTGAGGCCCAACAGTTCTGACAGGATGTTAATTCTCTGAACTGTGTCAAACCTGAGAACTTTACCAATGCATGTAGCTAAGGGAGTAGTGGCAGTGAGCCATTGGGCAGCAATATATTTAAAGGACCCTGTCCTAAGAGAGTTCTACCTCTTATGTGTTTTCCTCATCAAGGCATCCCATTCAAATTGTCATCTTTTGTCTTCATATTTACTGAAATTTTAGACTGGGAGACTTGGAGCCCTTTATAACTACGGCACAAATTCCTTTTCAACATTCCTTTCTTCTGCATCCCATTCAAATTGTCATCTTTTGTCTTCATATTTACTGAAATTTTAGACTGGGAGACTTGGAGCCCTTTATATAACTACGGCACAAATTCCCTTTCAACATTCCTTTCTTCCTGGAAGTATGCTTCATCTTCAGTTGAAGAGTATCCTCTCTAAATCTTGAGGGTAGGAGTAGTCCTACCTCTGTGTCCTATTGAGCTTCTCAGTCTTGGGAAACAAGTAAACTAATACTTATTGTGGCAATAGATACTAGGATGATGAAAATAAAGATGACCATACATTGTTTGTGACATCAGTTCAAACAACCCCCCCCAGCAGGTAACTCTTATCAGTCATTATACTCCTGTTAGTCATTATGCTCCTGAGCGTCTTTTGAATGAACAGCGTTGGGGATGGGGACCCTTTACTTGCTGTTTTCTGTTCTCCTTGGTTAAACCTAGCCAGGCCAAATCAAAGGAAATAATAGGGTGGTTCCCAGAGACCTTTGCAGGTAGCATAGACAGAATGGGAAAGATTACTGCAACGTTTGAATGCAAAATTAGGTTAATGTTTTACTATTTTCTGCACAGCAGCTCTTCTGAGGACATTTTCCCTCCCCCCAGGTTTTTACTACTTTTTAAGGGCCTTTGTTAATAAATAAACTGTAGTTGTACATACTAAATAAACCCTCAGTATTCACAAGCAATAAGAAAGCCAAGTAGAGCTGTCTTTTCAGGCAGCAGGGCTGAACTTGGTTTGGGGATTGTATATGAGCTAACATGCCAAGCTCTCTGAAAGCCCCAAACAAATGCAAGCAATAACTTCAAACATAGGTTTTAGATGTTGAAATTCTCTGGGTAATATTCCCTGCTACATGATCCAAAGTCCCAAAAACCATGGTAGCTATGTGAAATCATAAGAGACTCTTGCAAAGAAAGAAGGCAGGCTAGATGAAAAACAGGCTGCAGAGTTTCCTCATACCTTGGACTATAACTGCAGTGTTCTCCCTTTCCAGGACACAAATGGCCTAAGTCACTTTTGCAGCCTTCTCTGTTGATTTGAGAAACATGTCTAAATACTGATCAACTGAGTCACAAGTGCGGATGCTGTGGGTTTCACATCTGTTTTCTGCTAATCAGAAGAAACTTTTAATTACTTGGGTTCTTATTTGTGTTTGAATCTTATCAAAGTTGTCTGATGCATGGATTTAGGGGTGGACAGGTGCTAAAAGCCTGTTCCTTCCTGCAGTCCCATCACCTGACCCTTCCTCCACACTCCTTCTCCACTTGGTGCAAGACCCTTGAGGACATGAAAACAGAGAAATCTGCAACTCTCCCAAGCTGCCATCAGTTGTGCGAACCAGTAACCCTCTGGGAGTCACCTTGGACTCCAACTAACTTTATCACATTTGCTGCTACATTCATAAAATGAACTTTTGGCTGTATTTATTAGCAAATTTTAATCTAGTTTACAGGGGTTTTTTGTTTTCTTTTGATTAGTTTTTGCCCACAGTTGGATTAGAAGCGTTCGGGTGTTTGGGTTGATGGGTTTTTTGTTTCAGTTTTTTTGTTTGTTTGTGAGTGAATTAGTGAAAGCACAGTGGTCCCTCTTCTGCTTTTGTTCTGGATTTTTTTGAAGATGGCATTGCAGGGAAAACCTACAGCCAAGACAAACTGTGGAAGGCTTTCTCCCACACCTGACTTTCATATTTTGCTGAACTGGGGGGAAAATCATTAAAGGGACACTTGTTTTTTTGTTTGGGCTTGTTAGTTGTTTTGTTTTTGGGGTTTTTTTTCATAAAATGAACCAGAAGGTTAAAGCATTAGGCAAACAACTGATTCATTAACACTTTATGCAATTTTAATTTTATAGAAAATTCTAAAAATGTTGGTAGACTTTGATTGGTCCAAGCTCTGGTGAAATGGCTGTTACCCTTCATGACTTACTTGATTCAGGCCTTTGTCCTTTGTTTAAGTGCTTTTTTTCTGTTTTGGTTTGGGTTTTTTTTTGTTTTTTTTTTTTTTTTTTTATTTTATTTCTCTACCCTCTTTAAACTTTTCTCAGCGATCCTGAAGTGCTGGAAAGCATTTTGGAGGAAAATCTTAAGCTTGCCAAGATGGCTTTATGCTGTTAAACTGGGGTTTTTACCCTTTTGTAAAGAAAAAAAACAAAACCAAGTGTGTAATGTGTGTAACTTCATAGCTGCTGTGCTGTGGCATTGATTCTGTGTGCTTGTGCATTCTCTCTCACATGTGCACACACACACACACACAAGCAATATTCCTGAAACCTGTTCATCTTTCTCCATTCTCTTGGCTCTGTTTAATGCTACTTCAAGGTTGAACATTTGTGCAAAGATGACAGTACAATAAAAGAGTGTGTGCATGAGTGTGTGTAAATGTGCATGAGAGAAAGGAAGTGGCTAATGGGAATGAAACTTGTTGCATTTTTCTCTGAAGGTTTTGAATTTGTTTCTTAATTAGGTCATGAGTAAAACATTATGGGCCCTGTTTGGTAACCTTATTAATGACTGGACTGCTTCACACCATCACTTAGTCTGAGGCAGAGATGTGTGGCTGACAGCCCCAAGGAGCTGGGGGGGTAAATAAAGTTAAAATAGCAGTTTGCAATGTATGTGAATTGAGATTAACTGCAAGAATCTTGTGTGCAGCTGGTCACATCAGCAGTTACTGCTAGGATTCTCATATTTACCAAAGTTGTCACTTTCCACCATGCAGCCTATGTAAGAAAGAATTCTGTAAAACATGCAAGAGTGCAGCTGCTAATTGAGTTTAAAGCTAGCTATGTTTCACATACTGCCTAAGTCACTTGTCATGACATACTTTTCAAGTTGTACATCTCAATTTGTTGAGATTTCATTAGTGGTTTCTTCTCTTACTATAATGAACAGTAAGTTCATGTGTTCTTAGCTGCAGATGAACCCTCATAATAGTATCTGTGCTTGTTTCCTTCTCAGACAAAATTAGCTATCTGCAATAGATGATATAGCGATTTTAACAGCTTTGTGCTGAGGATCTATCTAACTTATGATTATTATAAACATGAATACCTGAAATTAGCACTTCACTTGTGGACCAAGTGCTAAACTTAAGGTAACATGCAAATGCATCACTAGACTGTTCTAGTTCTGTGATGTGCTTCCCCTAGGGAAGATCTGATTTTGAGTTGCAATATGAAAAGGAAGCATTTATTTTACAGAGTTGGAATAGAATGATGAGTCCTTCATGGGTGGAGAACCAGTGTGGAAAACAGAAAATACAGTACCGAATATGTTCCTGTGGCAGAGAATAGCCTAACTCAGTTCTTGGCTTGTCTTCACGTTTGAGTTAACCCGTTACACAAACTACGCCATAAGTGGATTTCTCCTACCAATCTGTTGGGGCCAGTCAAAGACAGGACTATTGCTGGTACCTCAGCCAGTTGGGGTGGTACTTGAGGGTGCTTCTTAATCTGTCTTAGGGGTATCAGTTCAGTTACTTCAGTGAAGTTTACCACATTCGCCAGTTACGTTGTTCAATTCCTTTTGAACACACATCCTGGGCTGATCTGTGAGATGAGGAATATACAGCTGGTGATGATGGCTGACTGTTGCAGTCTTTAACAAATGCAGCTGTTGTAAAAATCTCTGTCTACTGCTTAAGAAATCACTGCCAAAATAAGCAGCCAGAAGTATGCTTACTGGGCCACTGGAAAAATAAATGTTGTGTAGGGGAATGCTTTGTTTGTGGAAACTTCTGGTGAGGCTTCATCATCCTTTTTTTATGATGCAGTGATCCCTTGCTGCTGTAATAGCCTTTTGGGGCTCTAGAAAGCCCTGGTGCTGCTGTGAGTTATGCTGAGAGATCAACATGGCCTGGAACTGGCCCAAAACTGGGGAAGTACAAAGATTCCCTGCAACTGTTTTTGCACACTCATAAGTAAAACTGCTGATCTTGTCAGTAGTCAAGGATATAGGCTTGTCTTTTGTAGCCATTTTTGACAGCTGTAGTTCTACCCCAACCACCACCACGTTTTGTATCTAGAAGTGTGTGTCAGTCTCTTCCACTGCTGTCATCTCCTGCTTAAACAATAACCATTAGCTACTAAATTTTTATTTATGGTGAAGTAATCCCAACCAAGCAGTGTACACTGTATTTGGCTCCTATCATGCACAATACTAAAAGGGTTTTTTGTTTCTTCCTAGCAACGTGTGCAGATGCATTTTATCAATAGTCATATTTGCATTTGTCTAGTACCAAGAGAAAAAGAGTGGGAGAGAATCAACCAAAACCAGTCAGAAGATGCCACTATCATAGGCCAAACTGAACAGATGCTGAGGTAGACAGAGCTTCATTGAGACTTAGCAGATTTCACCAGAGTGGGGGAAGAAACTTTTTTGTGTTCTCAGCTTTTTCCAGCTAAGGCCTTAGTTTGATTAGTAGTCACTAATATCAACTATGCAGATAAGTATTTACATGTTTCAGTGTTACATGCATTCCTTTCCCCAGCTACCCCTCTTAACACATATTGAAATTTTACCCAAAGAAAATGGAGTATTTTTGAATGTCTGTAATGCAGAACTTTTTGCTAATGTGAAAAAAAAAATTGTATTTTAAAAAAGAAACCCTTTCATTGATGCAACACGTAGTGTCAAGTGTCATGAAGTTGCTTGAGAGGGAAGCTAAAATCACTTCTTGTGACAGGTTTTAGTCTGAGAGTTTTGTAAAATATTCAGCTCTCAAAATTGGATTAAGAAGCTGCAGAAATGTTTTTTAATGTACAGATTGGATTTAGGAAGAAACTCATGAGACATCCCAGGTTTCTTTCCAGCATCAGAAGTGAATTAACTCAATTTCTCACTGAAATGAAGTTGCTTCTAAACAAGGGGAGTTACCAGCTAAATAAAAACTAAATCCCAGTCCCCAGGTATTTCTCACTGGTCTTTTAGTCTTGTTGTATGTAACTACAAATAACAATTTAGCTCAGAGGTGAGAATTGTAGTGTGTGTTTTATTGCCGGTGATTCCATCATGTAGCAATTAGTACCATGTTCTTGCATAGTTATCAAGATCTGTACTGGAAATAGATGGAGAAATTTTATTTTTGGACTACTGTTAAAAAAAAAAAAAAAAAACACCAAAATTAACTACTACTTTTTACCCCCCAAAAGTCTACTGAGGAGTGCTATATTTTAGCAGTTGAACTAGTATCCTTGTTAACATGATTTGTCTCTTGTAGTCTTTTACTGAGAGTTAGAAGCATTTAATGAGTAATCCTTAAAACATTGCCATTCTCTAGCTTAAGGTCAGGTGCTTATAATAAAAGGGCATCTGTGATGATAACTTCTGATGATACAAAATCTCTATGTTCAGAATACTTCATTGGGGGAAGAAAACAGGTGAGGGTACAAGTCCCTTTGGGCCTGCCTGTTAAAAGAGGGTCAGTGAAGAAGAGTGCCCTGCACAGCTAATGGCAGTGGGGAACATCCCCTCAACAGCAGTTTGGCCTCCGTATCCTTTGTTTGGTGTAACTTCTAATATATACAGATATATTTTAGCAAGTTTGGATATAGCCAGTTTAATTCTACCTGACTTGCTGTGGTCCCCCGGAAAATGAAGGGCTGGGAAACTATTTTGCTGCCTTTCACTGGGGAGCTCAGAACAAAAAGCTGGAGGAATTTTTTTTTTGTTATTAACACGTGTTAAATCACAGCTAGAATTCTTTGCATTCCTCAGCTTCAAACAAAGGAGTGCACAGTTACTACAAGATGCCAGACCTGTTTGAGTTGATGATTCCTGTGATGCTTTCCTCAGTCCAGCATGAATTTGTACAAGGTCACCTTCCCCCTTTTAACACTCTGGATCATAGGGCTTAGCAATGGAGAGAGGATCCCAACAGCCCTGTGCTTACCTGATGAGCTCTCCAGGGAAACTGCCCCGTGAAATGCTCCCCTCTTGTGACAGCAAGCCTGAACAACCAAACGCAGCTACATTTGGGTGGTAAGCACCACTTCCATTTGGATTTTTTAGGGAGATGTGTTCCAATAACTTCAAGGGATACTGTGTTTTAAATGTGTGATTTCTTTCCTCTCTCCTTATAAAACTGGACCTGAACACAAGTTTTGAGTTGTTGGGGTTTGTTTTTGTTTTGGGTTTGGTTTTTTTTTTGTAATAATCTCAGGACCTGAAAGATTGTAGCATTTAGTGTGTCTTAAAAATGATGTACTGTACCAGCCATGGATTTTGTAAATACACCTGTCTCCCTTTTTTGTATTTTAATTTTTTAAAAGTGTGTAAGGCTCTTTGCCAGAGGAACTGGTGCCTGCTTTATCTCCATCCTGAACTGAAGCAGGAAAAGGAAGCTGCTGCCTCAAAAGCCTGCGTCAGTTCCAATGCATATATTGTTGTGGTCAGTTTAATGGCTGTTAGTCTTTTGTTAGTTGGGAAGCTGGTTAGTTCCCTGCACATTCCCAGTTGTGGCTAGCAGAGCCCTGTCAGGGAGGCTAATTTTAACTCTCTTCTGTGTGACTACTTGACGTTTTCACTCCTTCCAGGTACTCAGGTTTCCTATCCCTGAGCAGTCCTATGTTTTCAGAGGTCAGGACTATTGGCCCTCTGTGCGAATAACTGGAGAGCATTTCATTCTATCAGTGCTCTGATCCAAACACAGTCCTGGGGTTCGTATCCTGCAAACCTTGTGGGGAACGCTGCCTTCACCTGTTCCAGAAGGGACTTGCCCTTTTCTGCTTTCCTGAAAGGAGCACAAGCTTTTTTTGGCAGCAGACTTTGCTCTGGGATCCACCCTTGCCGGCAGACCCCTGTTCTGCAGTAGGAGCCTTACTCAATTTGGCGTAGCTGTTCCCTGTCCCTGACTGCGACAGGCTTTTTCATGAGTGTACTTTTCTGTTTTTCTATGTGTCACGTGTCTGTGCTGTATTAAATAAAGAGGAATGTACATATTAGCCCCGTGTCTGTGATTTCTCACAAAAATAAAAACGGCAAAAGGTTTGACTTGAAGGGTTGGCCCTCTTGGGGCTTTTTGTCGGGTTTTTCTGTTTGGGGGTGGGGGTTCCTGCGGTCAGGGCAACCACCCGAGCAAGGGTAACACAGTGTGCAGGGGGCAGCGTTTAGAAAGCGTGGAAGGGAGCGCTTCCCTGTGGGAACACCGCGTTCTGCCGAGCTGCGGCCGCACAACGCCATTGAGGGACCTCGGCGCCGGCTCCCAGGGCGCCGCGCGCAGCCGCGCCGGGCGGCGCTGCCCAATCACCGGCCTGCATTACACGCCATAAAAGGAAAGTGGGCGGAGACGGCAAACAAGTAAGCACATAGACAGGAGTTTGTCATAGCAGCCCCAGTGGCCTAATGGATAAGGCATTGGCCTCCTAAGCCAGGGATTGTGGGTTCGAGTCCCATCTGGGGTGGGCTCTTTTTTTTGCATTCGAGCCGCGCCGCTTTCCTGACGTTTGCGAGCGGCTGGCTGTCCCGGGTCTGCGGCTCTTGGGCTTCTTCTTGGGCGTCCCTTTCTGGCTCCAGCGGAACCCGTAGCGCCTTTTAAACCGGAGACCCCAGAGCTCGCGGGAACGCGCCCGCGGCCCAAGCCGGATTCCCGCAGTATGATGCGCCTCTCTTACGGCTCCCGGTGCTCCCGCTCCGTTACCACAGGTCGGTTACGAGGCGTAGAGCCCAGCGCGAGGCGTGGAGCGAGCACGGCCCGGCCTCGGCGCTGGATCCCCGGCACTTGACCAGCGCCGATCGCAATGGCGCGGGAGGGCGGCAGAGAGTAGGAGGAGGCGATCGTTCGCTCGGCGCTCGACTGCCCGCACTGCCGGGGCGCGAGGGCGAGGCCCGGCGGCGGCGCTCGATTGGCCGGCGCGCCCGCGGAAGATGGCGGCCCTGGGAGCCCCGCTGCGCACCCTGCGCGCGCTGCTGCGCGAGCTGCGCCACGCCGCCGGCCGCTCCTATCGCGACAGCCCCGCCTATCGGCACGTGCTCGCCGCCTTCCGCGCGCACCGGGTACGCGCGGCCTTCCCCTCCCCTCCCCACCGCCCCACCGGCAGCGCCCGGGGCTCGGCCCGGCCTCGGCGCCGCCCTGACCGCCGCTCCCCGCAGGTGACCAGCGAGAAGCTGTGCCGGGCCCAGCAGGAGCTGCACTTCCAGGCCGCCACCTACCTGTGCCTGCTGCGCAGCGTGCGCGAGCACGAGGCCCTGCACCGCGAGTTCCACGGCAAGGGCGAGCGCTCGCCCCAGGAGGTCGCCGGGCTGGTGGGCTTCAGACTGCCGCAGCAGCCGGGAGGGAAGGGCTGAGACAGCGTGCGCTCAGCGGGACCGCTGCGCTCAACGTTCATTCCTCGATAGATAAATAAATAAATAAATAAATATCCTAGAGCTACTGGAGCGGGCTGGGTTTTTTAGCAGGTGCTTTTTGTCAGTTTTAGGTTGTGGTGTGAAAGCCGTAACTTGAGACGGCCAAGCCCCTGTCCCTTTATCGGGGTTCCCAGACGCCCGTCCCGTCCTGGTGAATGTGTGTTGTGTTGGGACCTCCCGCGGGCTCACAGAGAGGTTGTTCGTAGCGGAAAAACACGCCAGGCTTCACTGCCAGCTGCTCGTCCGAGGGGCTCCGGGGTTCGTGGTTCCCCCACGGGAATCAGGAGTGGTAGGTGAATTGGTGCAGTGTTTCCTGAAGCACTTTCCAGCCATATTCTGTGCACGTGGGATTCCCTGCTCTCCCAAGAACAAAGGTCTCTTCTGTGCAGCGTCTGTGGATTCCGGCCAGCACTGCAGCAGCACAAACCTCTTCCACCTTAAAGGTTTTTTTGGGTTTTTTTCCGTGGCAGTAGCGATTCAGAGAGATGAATTCTTCATGAGTTACAGGTTTCTCGTGTCCCTGAGAAGCTGACTGTGAACTGCCGGCCTCCTGTGCTGCCCTGTCCCTCGGAACCTCAGAAAAGCTGAGGGGAACTGACTGCAGGCAGGCACAGCAACGGGACTGCCTTCACTGCCTTCTCCCACTCACCTCACGAACCGGAGCAGCGAGTTTCCTTTCATAAAAGGCCTGGAGTTGCTGCTGTTCACAGGAGAGTGTCGAATTGTGTGCAAGATATGTAAGAAATCTATAACAAGTATGACTTTAAATGGCTAAAAATGTGAGGTTTACCTGGGGAGAAGCCTGAAGCAACTCTAAGAAAATTAAAGTGTGTTTGTTGGGGTTTTTTTACTGCCAGGGAAAACACAGTGTTCTGTCAGAAAAGTGTTGCAAAGAGAATCAGTTCATCTAAGTCTACTGATTCCTTCCCCTGTATTTAAAACTTGGGGATGGTTTAATCCCTACAGTATAGTGAATAGGCACAACAGATCCTTAAAAAAAGGAAAATTTGGGCTGCTTACATACTGCGAGGAGATGTGACCTACAAGTTTTAGGGTTCTGGTGACCAGAATTCCAGTTTGCAGGTCTTACAGTGTCTCACTAGTTAAATGGTGTTTTTTTTTGAAAAGCCTCGATATAATGGCTGGAAAAGTATCAACCTATTTTCAGTAAGTCAGAGTTGTGGGATGTCACCACACACTGAGAATGGCTGTGACACACTGCTTGCTCAAGATTATTCAATGAAAACTGCTGCATTCTATACTATATCGCTCGAGAAGGGAAATAAAAAAATTAAAAATAAATTAAAAAGCGATCATTTGGCCAGACACAGATGCTCTTTAAAGAGTAGAAGGAACTAAAGTGTGTTACAGAAGAGCATCTTGTCTGCAAGTCCTGAAATACAGCTAACCACAGGGGTGAGGGGGTTATTGTAAGGGGAGTTGCGTGTTGCCCCTTTTCACTCCTGTGGAGCTGACCTTGAACACCCGCGCTTGTGGGCGAGTAGAACTGATCTTTGTGGTGGGTTTTGGGCACTAGATAGCAACACGACGGTTGCCAAAGGAAGAGTCACAAAATGCAGGCGTTAGAATGGGTAAAATTCGTTGGTTTTTTTGTTTTGTTTTAGTTTTTTTTAATGGATCTTGATGCCCTGTAAATTGAATTATCAGCCACGCATGCCGGTAGGCTCAGTTTTAATTCTCCAGTTAGCGGGGTATTACAGTAACTTGTGTCTCCAGGACTGTACCCGGCACTCGAGAGAAGCAGGGGCAGTGGCAGCGGGGCCGCTCGTCACTCCAGGAGGGAATTGTCCCCCGGAGGGAATTGTCCCCACGCGCACGCTGTCCCCGCGCTGCTCCCGCCCCGCCCGGCGCCGCCGCTGACCCGGAGACCGTGACGTCACACCGACCACGCGGGCCTCCCTGGCCAATCAGCGCGCCCCAAGGGCCCATCCCGGCGGCCCAATCAGGAGCCTCGCCGCGCGGTGCGTCACTGGCCAATGGGCGAGCGCCGAGGCCCGTCCGTGCTGACGTCGCGGAGCGGACGAAGGAGCGCAAGGCGCGTGCGCGTGGGTTTCCGTTCCCGCCGGCGCGCGCGCGTGGCGGGCGCGGGAGGGAGCGGGAGTGAGGGAGCGTGTGGGGGCGCCAGGCGGCGGCACCGGCTCCGGCACCAAGCGAGTTTCCCGCTCCGCTTCCCACCGGGAAAGCCAGGCGGGGGCAGCGCCCGCTCCCTCCCTCCCTCCGCGGCGGCGGGGGAGCGGCCCCGCCCGTGACGCGAGGGGCAGGGCCGAGCGCCCGCCGCGCCTCGGGCCTTGTAGGCCGCTGTCGGCGTGACTCGGCCGGGCCGCGCCGGCCCCCCCCGCGCTCAAGATGTCGGCGCAGGCCCAGATGCGCGCCATGCTGGACCAGCTCATGGGCACGTCCCGGGACGGTAAGTGCCTCCCCGGCCGCGGTGGGGCGGGGAGGAGGGGGCGGAGCCGCCGCAGCCCCGGAGGTCACGGCGGTACCGGGCGGGCCGGGCGATGTTCGCCGTGATTGGCAGGCCCGGAGCCCGTTGCCCGCACCCCCCGCGGGGCGGGGCTGCCGGGGCCGTCGGCGGCGGGGTGGGGGGAGCCGGGCGACGCCTCCCCCGCGGAGCTGCCGGCGCCGGCGGCGCTGCTGCTGTTGGAGATCCGCGGCTGGCGGTGCCCGCGGCGCGCAGCCTTCCCGCCCGGTCACCGTACGGGGCACACCCCCTTGCGAGATTCTGATCATCCAGGGGAGGACATAGCGAACCACAAAAATCCCCCCAGACCAACAGCCCCTTCAGCAGAGCAGGGTGGGGTTTTGTGTCGTGATAGATTTGTCTAAATTCTGGCCCGGACCACTGTGCTAGTCAGAAGGCGGATATGGCTGTTGTTTTCTGAAAGGCAATGTGGGATTGACCCAACCGGACAGATTCTTTTAAAAACAAGCCCTAAACAGCCAAGTAAAAGCTTAACATCTGGAGGCAGTCATACCCCGAGAGAGATACGAGATGTACGAGGTCAGGTTTCAGATCGCTCTGCGATCACACAGTGGACAGTATTGCTGTGTAAATCTTCCCGCAGTTCTTGTCACGGTGCGTGGCCATCAGCTTGTCAGAAAGTCTGAACCGGCACTCGCCCATCAATCCAGATACTTGTGGGACTGCTAGAGAAGAACAGTTCCGCTTAGGCTGTGCAGTTCTTAACTTGCAAACAAGAGAATTCTGCACCCGAGGGTAGGCAGCAATTAGAGATAATTTAAATGTTCTGCAGACTCGGTCTGTACTCACTCTTGCAGACGTGTTATGTTTGTGGAAGCTGCGTGTTGATTTAAGAGTTACCTGTGTCCCTGTGCACCGAGTAGGATGTGGGAGGTGGGACGTACCGTGTGTGTCCGGATCATCTCTCGGTACTGGCCTAATGTGCTATGGCAGCTTTTTTTAGTATAATCTAGAATTTTGAAAGATCTAACTGGTTTACGCATACTCCTTGTATCGTGAATGCTTTTTGCCGAGTTCTAAATTACTGTTCCGCGAAGATTGCCTTCCAGAGTAAGGCTGTTTAGTGAGTTGTCATCATACAGCATCTAATTTGGGGAAGTTTTGTCTTGCTTCAGAAGATTTTCCAGTACTTCCTCCTGTTGTGGCTATGTGTGTCTGAGTGCTTGGCAAAGTAACGTTGTGCTTATGGGACTCAAGTGTTCCCAGTGTTGGCACCCAGATTGCTGTCTCAGTGCTACCCTAATGCTACACAGAAGGTCTGAGGGGCGTGGAGGAGCTGTTTCAGTTTCTGAAGGTATTTTCTGTTGGGTGGTGGGAGAAGAGTGTCATTTACTTGAGACAGCTGCCCAAAAATGTTAAGTGACTAAAATCTAAACCAAGAATAACCATTTCAGGCTATATTTTCTTTGGCTTTGTAAGAAGGCAGTTATTGTATTGATAATTGTAGTCCCTCTCTGTGCTATGGCAGCTTTTTTTAGTATAATCTAGAATTTTGAAAGATCTAACTGGTTTACGCATACTCCTTGTATCGTGAATGCTTTTTGCCGAGTTCTAAATTACTGTTCCGCGAAGATTGCCTTCCAGAGTAAGGCTGTTTAGTGAGTTGTCATCATACAGCATCTAATTTGGGGAAGTTTTGTCTTGCTTCAGAAGATTTTCCAATACTTCCTCCTGTTGTGGCTATGTGTGTCTGAGTGCTTGGCAAAGTAACGTTGTGCTTATGGGACTCAAGTGTTCCCAGTGTTGGCACCCAGATTGCTGTCTCAGTGCTACCCTAATGCTACACAGAAGGTCTGAGGGGCGTGGAGGAGCTGTTTCAGTTTCTGAAGGTATTTTCTGTTGGGTGGTGGGAGAAGAGTGTCATTTACTTGAGACAGCTGCCCAAAAATGTTAAGTGACTAAAATCTAAACCAAGAATAACCATTTCAGGCTATATTTTCTCTGGCTTTGTAAGAAGGCACTTATTGTATTGATAATTGTAGTCCTGCTCACCCTGTAATTCCTAAACCACATGTGCTGAACTGTTCAGAAACTAACTGGCTAGAAAGGAAGCATTTAAACAAAATAGGCAGGATGGGGAGGGATAAGGAGAAAAGACCATTTGTAAAGCTGGCTTCCATGATTGGATTGAGGATCTCTGTGTAACATCATTCTATTAAAAAAAAAAAGCCCAGTGGAGCTGGAGCATCAGCATCATTTATACTGAATTGTACACAGGGATTGAAAATGAACCTTTTTGTGCAGAGCTGGTACTTAATAAATCCAAGGCCAGGCTCAAGGTCATTGAAATATTGCTAACATTGAGAATGATGGGGTTTGGGGTCGTTAGGTTTTTTATTATTCCTCTTACCTTTGACAAGTACTCTATTTCTGTTAACATGCAAATTGCAGCTTTTTATTAGAGTGTGTCAGTTCTTTAATTTCTTGGTAGGTCAGAACTTTAATTTCACCACTTGTCCCCATTGCCTTTGATTTTGCTCTCCCTGGCAACACATTAGAGTTTAAAATGCAATAGAGT